CCGTCTCCCCCTTCCACCCCCTCCTTTTTAAACCAATATTCATTCCATCCCATTCACACAACACAAAGAGAAATTATTCTAGCACTTTTATTTGGTTGAAGTTGCCATGGTATCCTCTAAAACGGTGATGACAGTACATTTTTAGTACCCGCATGCAGACTGCCTTTTGGTTTAATGTTCATTTTGTGCTTTGTATGCTGTCAGTGTGTTTTAATTATACTTTTTATACCATACTTGGAGTTGTTTTAGCATTGTACTTCTGGTAAAATAAATCCTTATTTATGTTTCACACATGAAATATACTAATATAGGCTAAGCTGATTAAATCTCACATGTGAAATGTAAAACTTGCATAAATTACTGCTCTCACTATAATTGCCTTCTAACCTTTTTTAAAGCAAAGTATACACTTGAATCATAATAATATTCCTGCATCGTGCAGTGTTATGGCAGCCGCGTTTTGCCCTCTGTAACAACTTCGCTGCAAAGCCGGCTCGCCAAAGGCGCCCAAATTATTTGGAGGCAAACATGAAAGGAAAACTGAAAAGACTATTAAAACACTAGATGTGTACATTTCACTACAACTACTTTATATTTCCAATGACCCACTCTCTCTGTGTTGATAGTTCTCTGAGGGCGTATGGAGTGTTTTTTTTTGGTACAATTTATTAAATGCTTTGCCTGGATTTACAACATTAAATGCTTTGTCGACGACATCAAAGCGACTTGGTCAGAAAAGAACGCTGCATTTAATGGTTTATTAGTTTCTGATTTGTATACAGCATTTTAATTTTTTGTAAATTTGTTGGAGACTATATTGACTACAATAAAATTAATCAGACGGAAAAGAACCTAAAGGATTTATTGTAATTTTTGAAGTAACAAAGAGTGGGAAATCATCAAATTCCTTGGATTTCTTCACCCATGACATCTTTTTTTCCCCCTTCAATGGCTTTTGTTTAGAGTGGGTTGAGTGAGCTTGCTTGACAAACACTCAACGATGTCTAATCACCTCTCACAGCTTATGCAGCTGTGTTTTGATTGTGATCTCTTTCTTTTAGTTAATTCTTCTTGGCTAGCTTGGGCTGCAGTTTTTCCCAGGGGGGGGGGGGGGGGTGGATCTACCTGACAGTGGAATAAAACTCGTATATCTGTACTCGGATACATTTATATCAATTTTATGCGAATCTACTTTCTTGCATTGACAGTCTTGTCTTTTTTCCTTCCTCTTTGCTCTCAGCTTTTAATGCTCCTTCTTTGAAATGACCTGTTTGTGTGTGGTTTATGCACTGAAGTCCTACAAGAAGAACAAGAACAGAGCCACATGAACCTCATTAAATAACCATGGCAGATTTCAGGTTTCTCCCAAACCAGCTAGGGTGTTGATGTGTATTTAGTTGGCTGACCTGCTCACAGAGGACACATTTTTCTGAAGGGATATGATTTTTGTATACTACAGCTTCTTTGTCATACGCGATTGCTAGTTTTCTATGGACTTACTCAGTTATTACTATTAACATGCTTTTTGCAATTACGTTTTCTGTTCTACTTTCTACTGTCTTTTGTACAGATCTATCAAATGAGGGTCCAGTTTAGCGGAAGGTCAATCTTTGAATCCCACAGTAAAGGGCCTACCTTTAATGTAATTTATAAATGTCTAGAAAGTTGGATTCTTACCAAAAATAAAATTGTCCTCTTTCCTCAGCCATCTACAACTTCAGTGAGAATGGCGAGCACCGCCTTCAGCTTGATATTGGGGACACAGTGCATATCTTGGAAGAAGCAGATGGTAAGTCATGTCCTTTTTTAAAGTATTAGTTATCTCAACCTTTTAACTTTTTGAAGATTTTTTTTTTTTCTGTCATAGCAAAAAGCATTTCTGTTTGTGAGAGTGCCACTGTTAGTCCTACTTGGGGTACTGCACTATGTCAACTAGTTACTGCAAGTTTTTTATTTTTTGTATCCAGAAATTATGTGTTGAATGCTGCTGGTGTAGATGCGAAAGATCTTGATAGATCTTTGAGGGCTTAATCGGCTGCTTGCACTCAGAATATTTCTGAGTGTTCTTGGGTGTGCTGGGGTAATAATACTTGTAGAGCACATAGACCTTGCTGTAGAGTGGGGATGTGCGCTAAATAAATGTAATTATTTTTATTAGTATTATAATTATTATTGCTAGTATGTAACCTTTGAATTATACTAAGTATTTATTGCATCTGCCATTGTTCCCAAATTACCCCGCAAGTATAAATAAGGTATTTTCCTTGTATGTTTGTTTTCTTTTTTTTTTTTTTCGCTTTCCTACTTTCCTTTCTCTTTTGTCCACTCTGTGATTTCTATTTATTGTCTTCCCCTTTTCTTAATATTTTATGGCAAAACAAATGTAGCAGTAATTCTTCACTGTATTGTTGTACAGATTTTAAAATCATTTAATAACACTGTTCTGAGATAAAAATTCTGACCTTTAATCATTGAACACCACCTATTCCAGAACAAGTTCCCAGCCTAGTTGGAGTCACTTCAGACTCCAGAATATGAGGAATATATCAATTTTGGAAAGTGCACCTCTAGCAAAATTCGATTACTCTTCGTGGAGAAATGCATAGTCGATTATATAAATGTGTTACTCAATGTGGATTGGTATAATCTTGACATATCGTCTGATTCATTAATGTATATTGTGCGAAAAAAAAATTCTGTTTTCATGAAAATATAAAGCAAGCATTCTAACTTTTCTCCTCAGATTGGTTTCGGGGTTATGCAACCAAGAACAAATCTAAAAAGGGCATATTTCCTCGAAACTACATTAATCTGAAGGAAGCGACAGTCCATGTCAGCGGGTAATTCGTGCATTCCTACTGTTCCTTTTTTTTCCCAGCCCATTTTGACTCATGTGAATATCCACTGAAAGAGGCGAAGGAAATGTTTTTGTATGTTTTAATTTGTAGTTTTGTACTTTTACGCCAAGGCCTGGGCCTACGATAGCTGTATACTCTTCAGAAAAGGTTTTTGGATTTCTTGTTTAACTCGAAATTCACCCAGTTACATACTGTTTAGTCATAATATGTAAGATTTTGAATGAAATTTTGGTAAGGTTTTATGTCTTTTTTTCAAGGAACTGATATTGCTTAACCCTGTCAAACCTTAAGCCCTGAACCCATTTCCCTCAATTCCCGGCCTCCTGAGCATGTGCAGAAAGTGGTTAATACAGGAAAACGAGTTATCAGAAACACATAACTTGGTAGAAATACAGGTAAGAGGCCTACTTTTGAGCTAATGCCAATACTCGGATTGGTTTTCAAGCACTACTCGTGTGTGACCTTGTTCTTATTTTTGTTTAGTTTTTGTTTTTAAAATCTTAGAATGACATAGTTTCTGACTTTTGATATCGTTTTTCTTTCTCAGGTCTCATGAAACCATCAAGAGTAAAGAACATCCTCTGGTCATAGAATTGTCAAATGTTGTCAGAGAATGGCATGCAATATGGAAACAGATGTTTGTGGTAAAGTCTATGTGGTCTTGTAGTATATTATTTGATTCATGAAGTGATCTTTTATTGTGTTCAATTTCTTTTCTTTAATTTCCAAGCTCATTCGAGCTGTATCAGTAGTTGGGTTTTTTTTCATGGGGGTGGGGGGGGGAGGTTCTTTTCTTCAGTAGCAGTGGCATTGTGAATATTTTGTGAAAGTTTTTTTTATTTTCCATATGGAAAATGCAAAGGATGTAACTGAATGAATCTCAATGACCTTAGTAATAAGGCAGTCAGGGAATGTGTTCTACTGTGTATTGTAATGTTAAATCATGTGCATTTCTTAGAGCTTTTTTTAACAAAACCCTTGAATGTTTCCTTTTTTTTGTTTAGGAAAACAACCACCAGCTAGAGAATGTTCAGAAGATGATTGGAGAGCTCATAGAATGGAGAAAGAAGATATTGGCTCGGATCTTCACAGTGGTGAGTTTTCCTTCTTTTTATTTCGAAATTTTGTGAATATTTCACCCTTATTTTAGCGGGTTTGTATTTAGAGAATTTTGAGGAAAGAAATATATCTTTGTTCATGTCTCTATGCTTGAGTTAAACACTCAAAGCAAGGCTCCAAATAATTTTTTCTATGGTGCTTATTATTTTATGTATGGATAGTTGTCTGTCAGTTTTTCTGGTTATTATACATGAAGTATGGAATCCCTGAGTTTCAGAAGTAAATATGTTCCTTTCCAAAGTGTGTCTGTTACTGTTTAAATTTTGTTTTTTCTTCCAGGATGAGATGAAGGGTGTTCAACAGAAAGTAACCTCCCTCATAGATCAAGGCAATGCGTAAGTTTTATGTTGCTATCAGTGTAGGTCACTAAATTTTTTTCTGAAGTAAAATTGTGAATGTGTGTTTCTTGTTATAAAAATGTTCTCCAACTTGTGATATGTGAAGCATTGTCTTGAATTTTGAGAATGGAGAATGTTGATTTGGAGTTTTTGTGTCCCTGTTATCCACAGGCGCATACTTTTGAGCTGTACTGTACCTTGTATTGTGACGCCAACACTGTTGTCTCTTTTAACGTACAAAAGTAGGGATTTTGTGTCAATGGTTTTTACAATATTTTAGCTTGTCCAACTACACCCCCAACAGTGTACCCGAGTCACCATTCAGAGATGGTCAAACTTCTACCATGTGGGCGGTTGGCGGGTGCTCTGGTGTGGTTTGCTTCTTCTTTCCTATAAAACATCTCTCCTCCTTCTGTTTTATGATTGTTACTCTCTTGTAACACCTCTAATCTTCTGGCGCTCATACGACCTTATGCAGTTGCGAGCACCGTAAAACCTGTACTAAAACTGGAGAAAAAAAAAAGAAACTCTACCATCTAGTTATATGGAGGATCATGGTTGAGCATGTTCTTATTATGTCCTTTTATTAATTTTTTTAGCTTATTAATCTATTTGCATTCTGGACTTTGCGTATGGGTGAAAGGGTAAATACATCTGTGGAGTGATCATGTTATTTTACTTTTAATTTTCATTCATACCACTTCACATGTTTGAGTAGCTTTGAACTTTCACTTGTGTTTTCAGACTGTTAAAGCTTGACTTGGTGGTGAGAGATGAGCGAGGCAATGTTCTCAACCCAGAGCAAACAAGTGTTATGGAAATATACAGAAGTGTAAGTGTTAATAAAATGTACAAAAATAGTGGATGGTTGGTGGGTGCTCTGATATGGTTTGCTCTTTCTTTCCTATCAAACATCTTTAGTCCTTGTCTTTTCTTCTTAATTTTTTTGTATTTGTTACTCTCTTGTAACCTCTCTAATAATTCTAATCTTTGGCATTTATATTACCTTATTGTGTTGTAAGTGCAGTAAAACTGTTACTAAAACTAAACTAACTAGACTTACAAAAATCATTTGCCGCTCTCATTTCTTTGTATTGCGACATAAATTGCAGCGGTCATAGAATACAATAAAAAGTATTTTCTTACCCAAGATGAAGTGGATCAGTCCAATTAGTTTACAGCGTGTTGCATAATTTTGGACGTGCCCTGTGTATTTGTAATTTTTCTCTCTATATATATTCTACTGCGTATTGTAAGCAGACTGTTTAATTTTTTTCTTCCTTGTTCGTTTATTAACTTGTCCTCTTCAGAAGTTGAGTTGCTTATGGTTGTAAAATGAGAAATTGAAAAGTTTTATTTCTCATTTTCTATCCAAATAGCCGAAAGCAATATTTCTCCTCAGACCTTGTACGAGATGCAAACTTAGAAAGTCACGCTTTGGTGTCCACAGAAAATTGATTTCTCAAGTTGTTTAGTTTGTTATGTAAATTTCTTTGTGTAAATATTGTTCTGGCCTTTAGGCAGAGCTGGTCTTTTGATTCGTATCATAACCACTCTCTCTGTGAATTCCAATCCTTTTTTTCCTCATGCCACCTGACTTGGGTGTATGACTATTAACTCTTAACATATTTTTTGATTTCACGCATATGTATGAACACATATGTATGAAGTTAGTAGCCTTGCAAAGATAAGTGATTCTTTCTTTCTTCTTGATCTTTTTACATGAAATGATTTTCTTTAACTCTTTCCGGATGTATCACCGATATATCGACGCGAGTTCACACCCCTTGCGGACGTATCACTGATATGTCAGCTGTGATAGGGGGCCTCAGTATTTTTTCGTTTGAACACGATCCATCATTTATAATTACTTTTTATAGCTGTTGGAAAACTCGGAAAGGATTTAGGAAACGAAAACATCTAGTTTCACTTTGTCAAAGTGTGGGTTTGGGGAAAAACGAGTGAATTAGTTCTTGCAGTCTTGCATCAACAAAACGATGTAACCTGACTCAGTATAAATATCGTAACTCAAACGAAAATTGGAATATTGCTTTCAAATAAAAAGCTGCACATTCATAAACTTACAGATTATGCTCTTGGCCTTTATATGATAAGATAGTTTATGCTGATTTGCTTTCACATGTTAAGTGAATGTAATTTTTTTCCGTCAAAATTTATTTTTCTCATCACTATCGCCATTTCTAACCTTTCTTATGCATATTTATGGTCAAAATTAATCCTTGTATCATATTGGGATGTATTCCTCCTTCAATTTCCTTCTATTTGATATATCATATGTTACGTTTTGAGTGATGGTTATGCTTCTAAGAAGTTATTATGTGCACCACATGCCTAGCCAAATCGAGCCACAAGTTAATTATGTCTAGACCCCAAAAAAACCTACGTCCGGAAAGAGTTAATATATGTGTATAATTTGAACAACTGTGTCAATTATATTTGGGACCTTTTCAATTATCTTAATCTTTTTTATTTTATAGCTTTTCGAGTATTCCCTTATATTTTGTTTGTTAAAGTGTCTTTTTTTCTATTTTGAACGTCACAGCATATTGATGCAGCTGAAAGGATCCACAAGGAAACAGTGAGTGCCTTTAGCATTTGTTCTGCTATAGTCACTGTATTTAGAACTTAAATCCTAAGGCTGCCAAGTTCTTTTTTTTATTTTACTGAATATGTATGTTCATGTCCCTTTACTTTTCCTGAAAAGTTCGCATAGTTTCCAGTTGAGATGTTCATTTGCAGTGACCGCGGACTGAGTAGAAATATGTGCATACAATTTTTAAGCATGTCTTTCATCTTATGACATTTCTCTTAGTTACAAAGTGCTTGCTTATAGCAGCAGTGTATTTTTTTGGACCTCACAGTGTGTTTTTATGGACTTTAGTGTTAATGGGATCAATATACTTTTCTAAGCCGAAGAGAGAGAGGGGGGAGCTTTTAGTAAGTGTGCATGTTCTTAGGTCTTTGTGGGTGTGTCTGTAAATGTGTATGTGTACCTGCGTGTGTGCCAGCATACATACTAGTGTCTATGTCTTTGTCTGTGCAAACTTGTGACCATGGGTGTGTAGATGCGTATGTTGTTTGCATGTTTTTTGTCAGAGTATGCAATTGTACTTATGCACTCTGCTGTTGACCCTATTTCCCACTATATTCGATTTTCTTTCCTGTTTAGCACAAACGAGACAGTGATATAGAAGCTCGCCCCAATTGGCCATCGTCATTCAATCTGTATGTGATGCTTAGGAACTTTGTCTGCAAGATTGGGGAAGATTCAGACATCATGATGAATCTGTTTGATGCTAAAGAAGAACGGTTCATCAGGTAAAATTTATAATTCTTAATGACAATTACATTAATTAGGCACTGGATCGATTGTTTTCAAACTTTGAATTAGTAACAGTAAATTTGACAAGTTGTTGTATGTTGGACTATTTAAAAATTTATATATTTTACTTTTAGATATTCTGAAGAATATTATATTCTGTCTTTAACTTTCCATTTCTTCCTTTGTGAGGGTTGATAATAGGTTCTTCCAGAAATGTTCATGTTTTGTCTTTCAGAACCGCAAGACTTTGTAATTCATTTTTATGTTCCCTTTCGTATGTTCCAGTGAAAATTACCTGGTACAATGGACCAAAAATGGAATGCCAAAAGAGATTGAAATGTTGAACAATTTCCGTGTTGTGTTCACGGTACGTGTTTTATAGTTATTGCTTTGTGTTTTTGTGTTCACCATTTAAACATTTTTTTGTGTAATGTAAATTTTAAAATGTGCTAAAGATGATTTTGTTTATAATTCATAACAAGTTTGCTCTTGAATATGCATTGTTTTAATATTTATTATTTTTGTAAATATTCGTATTATTTCTTACATTTTGAACAGCTGTTATTTGATGTTTTTACACTTTAAAACGGTTTAGTAGAATTTTGATGCATTTTGATAATTGTTAATCTTTACAATTTACATACTTTTTTGTAAGTTTCTCGTAACAAATTTGTTTCTGCCTCAGAAGTTGTTTGTGTAATACAGAGATGTTGATTTTTCAGATAAATACTGTAATCCGGATTGCTGAAATTGTTCAGATTTTGTTATATACTCTTGCTAACACATATAAATTTTTATCTCTTTTTGCATGTCACATTTCATTTTATGTAAACATAGTCTTGATACAAGATGCATTAGGTAATATGATCCATTAATTTAGAGTCCTCGTGTGCATGTTTCCACGGAGTCCACAAAGTTTTAGGAATTTATTTTGGTAGTAAGTTGCCACTGCTGTGTAATAATTCTTTTGTATTGTTCTTCAGGACCTTGGTTCCAAAGACAGGCTACGAGATAAAGTGTTCCTTGTTCTTCAGATCATAAGAATAGGTAAGTGGAGAATGTTTTAAAACCAGTGTCAGAGGTATAAGGGTTAGGCTCTTTTCCAGTACTTTCAGAAGACTTGAATTTGATTGTCATGTGGGGAAACTTTTCTCTTTCCCTGCTGTGATGTTGTATGATGGACAAAGTCAAATCAGCCTGCCTCCTATGTACTCTATAAATTATGTCAATAGGGGCTGAAAATGTCATCAGCCAGTGTACCTCAATACCTGAAATCTGCTGAATAACATCTAACTGTCCTTCACTTGAATAATAGTTGTCTCTTTGGCCCACCAAAGATTTTTAATAACTATAGATTTGAAGCTAAAGATAATTATGATTGATTTTTTTTTCTACATTTTGTTTTCAGTCAGAGCCTTCAAGAAGAGTCTGCATAGTGTTGCTGAATGAAATGAAAACACAATGTGTTGTTCCTGTTAGTAGTCAGTGGCAGCTGTGCTCTTACTTATTTTAAAAAATCTCTTTTATATTTTCTTTTGCAGGTGTCATGGACCCGAAATATGCTGACAGCAAAAAGCAGACACAGGGTATTCGCCGCCCATTTGGTGTGGCAGGTATGTACACTGCTGAACTGGAAAAATATACTGTACTGTATTTCTATGTCACATTTTTTTTTCCTGTGATTCGAAACTGTCTTTGTGTGTGTGACAGTTTGTTTCTTGCTTTGTTGATGATCAAGTAATTTTAGACCCCCTAGCCTGAACTAAATGACACTTTGAAATCTTCTAAAGAACCATAAAGATAAAAATGTAAAGCACTGAAATGTTTCCTTATTTCAGAGATACTTACCACTCCAAAATGTACTTTTATTTAGTCAAGACTCATCTGAGACATTGAGGGAAGATTTTTTTCTTCAGCTTTTTTGTCTGATGTTATTTTTATATCAGCAAAGATGCAGTCACTGTAAGCCCTGAAATTTCATCTGAAGCATCTAGTAAGTATATTCTAGGTCATTTTGAAAGTTAAGATTTTGCTTGTTTTTCTTTTCAATAGCTATGGACATCAGTGATATCATGCAGGGGACAAAGTCCAGCTCAGAGGATAACCAGTTCTTTATACCATTTCTGCAGTAAGTTGCCATTATGACGATAAAATGATTTCAGTATTTGCCTTTTTTGCAGAAAGTGTTCATGTTGAAATCTGTAATGTTTCATCTGTGTTCTGATTATGTATGTGAACTCTTTATCAATAACTTTGGGTAAATGCAACCGCAAAGCCCAAAGACCTCTTTGCGTACACAGATTCAATTCTCTTCAAAGGGATGACACAGCTTGAAACATGTCTCGTTCATTTTTTTAAAAGTTGATGAATTTTTTTTCCTTTTATGTCATTAATTATTTGTTGGAAATTACGTTTCTGTCTCTGTAGTGTACTATTTTCCATGATCTAATGCACATTAGCTTTCTGGGTTGATAAGTTGTATGAATTAATGATTGTTGTATAGCTTATTTGGAAGACAGTAAAATGAAGCAGAAGACAGTGCTTATCACATTTTATTTACATAAATTGATGATTTACACTTGATAGACAATTCTCTCTGAAATTTGAGAAACATGCTTTCATTCAGCTGCTTGTTATCTGCTTTTTTCCTGGTGTTTTTGGTCTGATGTTTGTCTTTTGTGAAGAAAATTTTCCCCATTTTCCATGTTATATTCAAAATGTCTACAGATGTGGTGAAAAAGAGTTTATGTACAGTGTGATTAAAAAGGCCATCTCTGCACGAGAGATCAACCATCGGGGACAGGGGATATGGGTGTCCCTGAAAATTCTTCCTGGTGACATGAAACAGGTAAGAACCAGCACCTTCCTCTCTTACACTAAAATATTAGGAACCCACAATGAAATTGCAAGTGATTGATGCTTGTATTAAAAGTCGAGTAGACAAAAATATTTTAAACCCCCCCCCCCCCAAAAAAAGAAGCCCCATGCATGTTAACTATTTCAGTGCTGTAGATAATTTTTTGTGAGACAGGCTGTGGCTCAAGTCTTTGTCTTTATAGGAAATTAACTCTTATTTTAGCCCAGATCAAGAAACTGGACTTATGTGTAAAATATCATGGGAAAGGTTTTTAAAAAAAACAACAGCCTTTGAGCCAGAGATCCTTGATTGATTTTGTTCAATTTCTAATCATTTTCTTTTTGTTGTAAAAATGAATCTCTTCAATCAGTTGAAGTGCTTAACTACCACAATATTTAGATTGTGAAGTGATGCATTTCCATTGGTTCTAATTTAAAAGAGGATTGTAATGCTACAAGTACAGTTAGTAATGGTGAAGAGAGTGTTGACGAACAGAAAAGTGAGAAAACTGGATCTGCTTAATATTCACCAGCTGGTGACAGCAAGAGGTCATCCACCTTTTGATCTTCTGTTTGTTTAAGTTGGTGGTATTCGTATTTACTTTAGCAATAGAAACACTGAGTTTGATTAACATAGCTAGAAAATTCATTCTGTAATATTGAAGAAAAAAAAACTGCATAAAGTTTAGTTAGGAGTTTCCTGAATGGACCGGATATGTATCTGTCACACTACTGCTCAGTATTGAAGGGTAGTTCACCACTGTAGCTTTCAGAACCGAATGAGTTAAAGATGGAAAATGTGATAGTGTTTGAGATTTATAATAAAAATACAAAATACAAGAGAGAGTTTGTGAAGATTTTTTGGATCCATGGAGATTGATGTGTGTTTTAGAGAGATAATTGCTTGTATTAAAAATGGGAAATGTCCATAATATCCATATATATATAACATACAATGATTCTGTTTCTGTCTTTGGGACACTTACAGGGTGATCAAAAAAACAACTGAACAACCTTTTTTCTGAATATCTCGCACAAAATTTGCACTAGAATGCTGTAATTTGGAACAGATATAATTCACCCAAAAGGGATTTGTTTGACATAAAATTCTTAAAGAAAAATCTTGTTTTCGAAAACGAAAATGGCTTTTTATAAAAACCACCTATAAATGCAAAATGCACCCAGTTTAAAAGATCTTGCAAGGAGAGTAAAGGTTTGTTTTTTCCCTTCCTTTTCTTTTCAAAATCTAATATTTCCATCCCTGTAACATTTAAACAATGTTTCTTTTCTCTTACAGAGTTTAAAAAAAATATTTGTAGAGTTCTGGAATGTCCTTCTTTGGACTCGACACATTTTAATGCATCCTTCGTAATGCTCAGTTGTGGCCAAACGCATGGATCCACCCAACCATGAGTACCCAAAGCCACACACTGTACACCTTACAGTATGGAGTTGTTTCTAGGGACACTAAGGGGTAGGATGATTTTGCCCAAATAGGCAGCATTTGTGGAGTTAACATATCCTGAAAGGTGAATATGGACTTTGCCAAGGAATCAAATGTCACAGAAGAAGTGTTCATGCTTTTCAATACAATGAAGGAATGACAAACACATTGCTATCTTCTGTTCCATGTCAGCTTAGCTAACGGGAAAATGGTACAGTTGTAGGCGAAGATCTACCTTGAGAATGCAGATCGTTGAGATGTAGGAAAGTCGTAACTGCAGACATTGTCTAAGGACTATTGGGCTCATCTTCTGAATGCTGCACCCCTGTGACGTTTAAAGGAGTGCGAAGGGTGTGTTGGACATGAAGTGGTCATTTTGTCTGAGAATTTTTAGTTTTGATTCTCTACAGGTCTTAGCAGATGGACCATTTTCACCCTTGACATCAAAGGAGGCCTTTAGGACATTTTAACACTATTTTCGTACCTTGTGTAAAACCTAGGAAATGAGGTTGTGGTGAGGAAACGTTCAATATAAAAAGCTCTCCTCTCTTTACTTATCTTAACCATGATCTCAACAGGCAAAGGAAACTTGAGGAAAAACTGTCTGCAAACTTCTGTTGGCCTGTTAAACTACTGTAGCTTGCAATGTGGTCCAATTGTTGGGACTTTTAGTGGTAGGCCTAATTCGAACTAGTACGTCATGCTACAAAAATGGGGATATTGCTGAAAATGGGTTGTTTTATTACACGCTATGTAGAGAAAAACTATTGTGTGGATTTATCTGAAATGAATATCAGACGAATTTCTTTTGACTCCAAAATGATGTGTACAAATTTCAAACACAAATCTTCTGTGTGGAGGAAAATATTTACAAAAAAAAGCTATTCAGTTGGGTTTTTTTATCACCTTGTAGAAGATAAAAATCAAATCAAAGGACTGCTAACACCTATTCACTGGTGTACAGATTCCAGCAGGTTTTCAAATTTTGTAAAGACTATAATTCACAACCCGTTTCAGGCACGTGAAGGTTACCCTCATCTAGTCTTGCCTGGTACAGCTATGGCCAGGAAAATGGGCTTCCCAGATGTTATCATGCCAGGTAAGACTTAGTCTAAGACATTGTTACTTTGTGATTGTGACAGTTTGCTTCATTTAATACTTCTGAAACTGATTACTTAAAATGGTTTTGCATTGAAATGCTTTTTTTTTTAAATAGGGGTGTGTTATTATGATTACAAGTCACTTTAGGTGTTGAATGACACTTCAAAGACAAATTTGTGAAATATGATAGGTGTTTGCTTGTGAAATTATATGTCCTTGCCAGGCAAAAAGAATATCCTTTTCTGATTTAAACAACACAAGCACATGTCTCCATAGTAATTTATGCAATTATTTTTAAAGATAAATCTTTTGTCCTTCTTGTGTTGAAATAATGTTATACATCTGAAATTCATTGGGTTTTCACTTATGGTATGTTAGCTTTGGATTTGGCCTCATGTTTTGAATTCTGAGTATTTTTTAAATCTTATTATGTTCCATCAGGAGAGAAAATTCTGGGAAACATAAATATGCCATGAAATGGCTGCTTTTATATTTGATTTGTCCTTTTGATATAGTTGGCAATGCCAGATGTTCAGAATTGTTTGTCATGTATAGTATAAATAAAGTTCACTCAAAGTTTATCAACTTGTTTTCAAGATAGCAGTACTCATATTATTTTTCATGTCTTGTAGTTTCACCATAGTGACCATCCATCCTTCATGTCACTTCATGTCATTTTGTACTCGTCCAAATTAATTTACATTTTTAACTGCCACTGTAGGCATTGAGGATGGTAAGAAAAGTATTGTGTGCAGTATGCTTTCAGTATTGCTTTTTTTCAGTTTTCCCGTTAACATATAATGTACAGTGGAACCCACTTATAACGAACAAATGTATGCTGTGTTTGTCATTTTAAGCTCTCAGTTCTATTTACAGTCCATAGCACGCTGCCATCTTTTTTTCTCCCTTATATTATGATGTTTCCATCACTGATGTCGTTCTTTCCTTATCATTGAACTATTGTGATAGCGGGTGGTTGGCGACTGCTCTGGTGTGGTTTGCTCCTTCTTTCCCATCAAACGTCTGTTGTCCTTATCTCTTCTCCTTCCTTTTTGTGTTTGTTATTTTCTTGTAAAACCTTTAATCTTCTGTACTTATATGACCTTATTGTGTTGCAAGTGGCATTAAAGTCTTACTAAAATTCAAAATAAAATAAAACTAAAGCTGCATTTCTTCCTTTCTCATCATAGTATTGTTATTGTTTTGAATTGAGAATCACTCTGTCACCTATAAGCAAACAGGGGGAAATAAATAGTTGGCTTTTCCACCAACTTGGACTGGGGTATTACTCCAATGCTGGTATGATACATCTCATACTCCAGGTTTCTGTAGCATATGGGAGGTATCTTTTCTCTAAACTTATTTTGTCTTTTGTCTTGCCCCCCCCCCCTTTAAAAAAAAGAAAGTTTTATGGCACTTGCAACAAAATTAGGTCATAAAAGTGCCGAAGATTACATGTGTTTCAGGAGAATAATCAACACAAAAATGAAAGAGGAAAGATAAAGATGGTGGGTGTTTGTTAGGAAGGAAGGAGCGACCCACCAACCACCCATGTGTCTAGCTCTGTTTTATTCTGATCTGTATCCCATGGGTCTGTTCTGGCAAAACCTAGATCCCAGCAGCCTTGTGATGGAGGGCCTCTCTTTGAAATTTCCAGTGTGTGTCTTCTAGGGTACTTAACTCCTTCAACAACAAAAATGGCCTTTTCACTCTTTACCTCTTTGCGATCAATTTGTTTTTCTTGATCCTTATGTAAATGTTATGCCTTGTACTTTATAGTATTTGGTATGTAGCAGAGATGACTAGCTCCCTTTTTTCCTCATATCTTTAAAAAAAAAGAATTTCTTCTTCAGTACTCTTTGCCATTAGAATAAAGAAACTATTTTTTGTATTTTCTGGGTCATTTTCAAATCTGATTTAAAAATCATGTTTTGTCTGATTATTTTTTTCATCTCTCCGGAACGCAATGTTGCAAATAACGGAGAATTTATTTTCTTTTGATGGATTAGAAAATTATTTTGTGTAAATGTAAAGTAAATACAGTGTTCATATAAATAACTTGTAAGAGCACGTTCATTCCAGAATGTCAGACAGACAAGTGATTACGACTAACTGGCAAAATGCTAAAAATCTCCATACATTGCTGTATTGTGTTCACACAAGACTTCTGTTGATGTCTGAGTTGATTTTTGTCGCCCGCCTATTTTTTAAAATAGTTATGGCACTGGTAAAATTCCACTGCCAACAGCCATGTAGCTTGTAGATTTAAATCAGATGTAGTCTGTCTGAAATTTGTTTACCACACAGCTGTTGATAAAACTCTTCCCTTGGTGGCGTTCATTGATCGGCCATGTAAGAATGAATTAGAATTGAAATAATTACCTTGTGAAATTACATTATTTGTTGATTTAATATATCTTACTTTATGTCTGAGGATGTGAAGTCTGTGTTCGCAAAATGTTATTCTTGGTTGTCTTTGCAAGATTAAAAGTTTATGCCATCTTATTGTTTATGTCATAAGTAGGTTCCACTGTGTAGGGCTTTAGTATAATAATATAATGGTTTTTGGGCATTTGAAATAATACATCCCTGCCAAACAAAAATACTGACTAAAATCCACCAGCACATTTTTCCTTCCCAAATTATCTGTACTAGTATTTTGATCTTTGCACAAATGTAGTTCTTGCATACAGAAATTGAAAGCAACATGTTATGCAACTTTTATTCTTATGTTTGAACAATGAGAAACAAATCATATTACGCATAGATACTTGAATGTGATTCAATGTGTGCCTCATAGTTTTGTTTTGTTGTTGTCTTATGTGTGTTGTTTTTTTTTAAACTTAGAAATAAATGTTTCTTTCTTTCTTTTCCTTTTCAAACACTCAAATATTTCGTGTAATTTTCTTGAACGAAACAATAACCGATAGGGTTGTGAAAAACAATCGTGTGAAAAATATTTTCTAAAATCATGAAGTATCTCTAATTTTTATTCACTTTCTTTTTTAGCTGAACCTTTATGTTTTTTAAAAGTTGTTTGTTCTGTGCATGGATTTTCACCTATCTCCACCTATGTACTTAGTGTCTGAATTTTGTGATCCTTTTTACCAAGTTACCTGGTGATTATGTTTGCTTGAGTACAATTCCATTATTTTGAAGTCGATTTATCGTATGTGACTGTGTGAAAAGTGTGGAGAGCTAAACTGTCAATTGATTATTCTAAGTGTAGTAACCAGCGAAACAGCCAGTCTACCAAATAAGTCTATCCCAAGCTGTGAAATGAATGAATGCAATATTTTATGACTGCACCTTCTAAGGTATTTTTAAAATGTTTTTGCGAGTTCGGGCCTTAAGTTTTGGGAATGTTATGAATTTAAATGTGAAATAACCTTGGGAACACTTTCTTCACATTTGTGGATGTACCCGCTCTACTTTCTATCATTTCTGGAAACTGATTGGTCGATTCTTCAGATTCTCAGGGCATTAGTATTTTTTTTTAAGGGGAGGGGAGGGAGGGGGGGGGGGTGAATAATCTGTTCATAATTATAAAATATTTCTAATGAAAGAGTGCGTTGCAATTTTGAACTGTTATTTTTCTGCCTTGATAAGATCTTTATGTTTAAAATTGGACATAGATTAACATTGTCATTATGACCATCAGTCCTTTGTTTGTGCTTCAGTCATGTAGGAAATGACTACCTAGAAGCTTTTCACTCATACTTGATGTCATCAAAGTTAATAAAATGAGTTTCGGTTTTGCATTGGTATAGAAAAACTGTTTCTCTTCATCATGCCGTTTTTCCTTTAAGGTGATGTTCGAAATGACATCTATCTGACTCTCATGAATGGAGAGTTCACAAAGGGGCCAACAAAGACGACAGACAAAAATGTTGAAGTCTGCATGTGTGTCTGTAATGGCAAAGGCGAAGTACTACAGGTACACTGAGTCTAAAATTCCTTGTGATGTCTCAAAAATCAAATACTTTTTTATACTCTAAAAGGACAATCTTTATGGATTTGGCTTTTTTTCTGTTGTCTCTTTCAAATGAACTGTAGAATCGATTTCAATATTGAACTCTGGTTATAATGCTGTCTATTAAGTCCAACCTAAAACAAAAGTTGAATTTAAGTTAAATTCCTTAAAATGAGCCCTAGACCTTTCACATCTGATAATACTTTATTCCTTTTCATGGGTATGGATTGCTGTAGGAAAATCATCTTACTCTCTTTAGTTACATTGACATTTCTCAGTAAGTAAGCATATTTCTAAATATTACAGGGTCTATCAGGATAATAATAAATAGCATTCAGCCAACTTTAGAGTAGGGATGTGTGCTGTGTCAGGGTAAAATAAGTTGCAAGTGGCATGAGGCCTACTTCTGATAAGGAATGTCTGCTTTAGTCCAATCTATTATTATTGTTGTTATTATTATTATTATTATTATTATTATTATTATTATTATTATTATTATTATTATTATTATTAATTTTTAAAAAAAATTTTAACCATTATTTTTGTTACTATGATGATGATGATGATTATTTTCTTTTTCTTTTCTTTTTTCTTTTATAGAATGTAATCAGCCAAGGATGCAGTGATCCTTTGGGTCCTGAGTACAAGTCCATTGTTTACTATCATGAGGACAAACCCAAGTGGTTCGAGACCGTCAAGGTAAACTCTGGATACTTCAGATACTAGAAACTTTATCAAAGCCTCGCTGCGTTGTACCTTGAAGTGCTTGGAAAACCTATTATGAGCAGCATGCTTTCTCTCGGTTATTGATTTGTTTTGTTCTAATATGTTTGTTTCTGTTTGGTCAAGGAGAGTTTTTAATCGCTTATGTGTATGTTTCTGCTCTTTGTAGTTAATCTGTTGAGCTGTATTTTTATATCGTTGAAATCATCTAAGATGGCTACTCACTGTTGAGAAGAAATGTGGTTGTCTTAGACTGGTGGACTTGTTGGAAAGTGTCAGAATATTTTTGAAAATGCTCATAAAGAAACAAGAAGTAGTCGTTTGTGCTGGAGATTGTCTTAGTCAGGTTAGAGGAGGTTTTGCTGTATTTGCTTAAGTTGAGGCGATTTTTTTTAGTCTATGAAAATGTTCATGGTGTTTTCATTAATATCTGTGTCCTCAGGTTGCAATCTCCACAGAGGTTGAGTTTAGAGGGCTCCATCTAAAATTCTTATTCCGTCACAAGTCATCACAGGAAGGTGTGTTGGAGCTCTCAAAGCGTGTTTGTCAGTGAACTAGTGGGATTTGTCTGAGCGAGGCTTAGTTAGTTTTTGTTGTACAGTTGTGTGTTTTTGTACTGTGAACTTTTCTGTAGTGTCCTTTGTTTTTTGTTCAGTCAGCTTTCTTAGTGGTTGGTGGGTGCTCTTTTCTGGTCTGCTCCTTTTTTCTTTCAGTGCGTGTTTATGTTGTCCTTATCTGTTCCTGTTGAAATGCAAATGTTGTCATACTGACCTGTTATACTCACAACTTGACATCAACAATGTCATACATGTATACCATTGTATTAACTATTCCGATACTATAATCCTACCCATGTGAAATGTATTTTGATCTTGTTAAGCAGTCTCATTATATACAAGGGTACTTTGAATGTTGCTAGAAAATTGATCCTGCAATTCACCTTAGTAATTTGTTTGAAGTCATCTTGCTGGGTTTATAACCATGGACATTTTGGGGGGGGAAACAGCCTCTTATAAAAATCCGATATATGGTGGCAACATGTAATAATGCTCCCTACATATTCTTCAACAGCCAAAGATCGTGGAGAGAAACCGTATGCTATGTCATTCATTCGGCTGCTTAATGAAAATGGCACGACTCTTGAGGATCAGGTTCATGAGCTACTGGTTTATAAGGTAGGTGCTGGTGAATTCTGAACCTTTTTTTTTCTCATCTAATGTCTTGTTGCTTGGAGGTTTTCAGTGCTTTTCTCAATAGATATGATAATTTATTTGTTAAACATGTTCAAGCGTGCCAGCCCCTTCTTCCAGAATAGTAATAAAGGGTAGATATCTTTAAAAGATATGGTTCAAGAAACTGCAATTGATTATTTGAGAAATTGCTTTTATTATGAAGTAAAGGAGTAGGAGAAGACATATATTCTCATGATGGCTAGGTAATGAAAAAAAGTCAAGCATAATCTTCCTCTATTGAGGAATAAACGTGACATTATACCTCTATCCATGAGTACAAGTGCATGTTGTCTAGTAGAGATAAAGATGCTGAGCAATTGACTGACATTCTCAGGAGTGAAATATCACACTCTGCCGTGTGCCTGTCCCCGCAGAATTATGCAAATTTAGAAGGCCAAATTATGCTAAAAAAATGCAAAATTATGCAAAAATTATGCAAGTTACCGTAATACCATTCGCTACATGTTTTGCACTTTTTCAACACGAATTTTAATGATTTTCATGTTTTATCCTCAGAAAAATTTAAAACAGAACATATCAGTATCAGTAATTTGTTGTGTATTTGGAAAGAAAACAATACACATCAGTCAGAAAAAAAACCAACCAAAAAATATAATCTCTGTAACTTTCAGCTGTAGATCTAGATCTATAGAAGAAAGAAAAATGTAAAAAAAAAAAAGAAAAAAAGGACAACTGGACCTTTGATGCTGGCACATTACTAAAACCAGGGACACCTGTCAAACATGAAACATCAGCAGACATGAGAACAATAACTTTTGATGGATTGAAAAATTGAACATGCTCAAGGAACAAAATCCCAACCCATAAGCAAGATCTTTTAAGAAGGGAAATTACCGACTTGTCACTTAAATGAGACTAATTACGGTGATTACTTCTCATTAGTCACATGGCGAGGCGTTGATTTATTGTTTTTTGAAAAAACTTGAGTAAACGCGGGGAATCCAAAATTTTGCAAATCTTGTAGAATTATGAGAAAAAACGCGGCCGCGCCGCACAATCACATAATCCAACGGGGACAGTCATGTATTGTTTTGGAAATCTATCTTAAAAAATGCAAATTGTTTTGTTGTGTTCACAGATTGAAAACCGTCGCCATGACGATGTGAATGCATACTTCAAGCTGCCATGCACTAAACAAGAGCTGGAGGCTCAGGGGAGCCAGTCCAACAACAAACATGCTGGGAGCTTCACTCTGAGTCACAAGGACTCCTTCCTGCTGTATACCTATGTCTGCTCCACAAAGCTCACGCACAATGGTAAGTTTTTATGTGTATCAGTTGTGAAAATTTGTTCTGGATTTGATTCTGTTACAGTAATAAACTCTGTGTAAGTTGGTTATGAGGTGGGACCTGTAAATTTATTGTCCATGTCTGATTGGACTGAAGTGAAGAGCCTTGAAAAACTCCTTACGCCATTGGAGTTAAGAAATGAGGTTAGGAGTCTTGCTCCACAAAGATAATTTTTTGTGCAATGCGACTAGTAGGCCTACCCTTTGACTTTGATCAGTTGATCTTACAAAGGATTTTTTTCTGTGGAATTTTAATATAATTTTTCTTCTTTTGTCTTTGTTTTATGACACTGAAAATGCTGTTTGTGGATTGTCTATGTTTGATAATGCTGTGGCATATCATCAATTTCCTCCGTTCTCAGTGGATCTGTTGGGCTTGTTGAAGTGGCACGAGAAGCTGGGCAACACAAAGGCTCTCAAGACCCATCTAGAACATTTGATGAAGGAGGAAGGAGAAGAAATTGTCAAGGTACATTTAGTTTGCTGTTTTGAAATTGAATGCAAAGACCTTCCTTTGTTGATTGTTCCTTTTGCACATATATAGTTAAATACAGTATGAGAGTTTGAATTTATATAATTTCATACTTATTAAGGATAGGTTAACATAAAAGCCATTCTTAGTTTTGTTCAATTGCGGAACCTCTTTTCCTGCCTCAGTAACAAATTGTATGAAAATTGGCTCTTAAAAAAAGTTTTAAAGGAAGTCTACCAAATCTATCATAATAATAAAAATTAGTAGATTTCCAAAGTGCCCACAACATTCAAATTCATAAAATTATTCACATTCATTCAGACACACACAGACAATCACACATGCACACACATCACGCTTACACACTTCACATAGGCGCACGCGGCCACACACACACGCACACGCACACACACACACACACACACACACACACACACACACACAACACACACATGCACGCACGCACGCACACACTCACTGCAAAATTATAAGACTCTAAAGAGCAGCTGCACCTCAACTAACAAAATCTACAATTTTGATTAGAGTTATTTTGTTTGTGCATGGTACATGAAACCAATTTGCTGAATGACATATTTTCCACATAATATGATATGGCCAATTATTTTTCTGTTGAATAATATCTTCCCTTTTTTTTTAATTGCAAATGAAGGAAATGAAGTCTTGAATTTGTCCTTTTTTTTTTTTACATACATACAGTTTTTACAAGATCTGCTGGATTCACTTTTCAACATCTTGATGCAGAATACAAACAGTGAGCTCTGTGACAACCTGGTCTTTGATGCATTGGTGAGTGCTCTTATAGAGGGGAATGATTTATCCCCAACCCTAATGTCTCATAGTTCGGAGCACTTTCCTGTAATGCCTCAAATACATGGACAAATCTCCCTCGCTTTATAATGATTTTATCGGTTTCTGTGTAGATTAAGTATCTTTAGACACTTTTTTGGTGTACTAACCCTGGAGAATTAGTTTCGATATTAGTTAAAAATTAAGTTAACTTTCAGTAGAAGTAATATTTGTTATGTAATTAGAAATAAATTAATACATGGACACTTATAATTATCACCATCATTATCATTGCCTTTCTAACCCTGAATCATGGTACAGGCCACTGACTAACAGAAGATATAGCAAAATACAATTTAGAAGAAATAAAAGCATTTGAGAAAATTATACGAGGCCTGAGATAATTACTACTCCAAAATCCATTTTATTTCTACTTTCATCTCGATGTTTAGTGCTGTACTTTCAAAGATAAATAGCGAATTGGGTCTTTTTAAAGTGCTGGTCACAGATGAACAAAATCCGAAATGGAAATGTAACTTTAACAGCTTGAGAGACAGAAAAACTGTCAATATGACCCTGGAAAAGCTAAAGGAGCATGAGGTACTAAACGAGGGAGAGGTAGTAAATTGTGTATAGTTAAGCATCAGGATATAAGTGTCAAAAGATCTCCCTTCTCCCATGTATGGATTGGTTTGTGTATCATCTTTTGTTAAAATTCACATTTTTTCCCCCCAGGTATATATCATAGTGTTGATCTCAGAGCGCAAATATTCTCAGTTCCGACCGGTGCTTGATGCCTACATTGACTCTGCTTTCAGCTTTGCCATGGCATACAAGTGAGAAAAGTTCAGATTTTGCTATAAGATTGATTACTTTCTTACTTCACATACTCACTAGTAAATTTAGAATGAATAACATACTTTTAAAAAAGTATAACTCCATTGAAACCTTGTGTTAATTATTTATTTAATTTTTTTTTAGATTGTAAAAGAGCCATTGGAAGGAAGGATTTGAAATGATATTACCTTCTTTGTTTCATAATAATATGCATTTTGACTGCTCGGTGTAAGACTCCCTCATACGTCACTTTTCAAAATGGTGTATGGGAGAGTCTTATATTAAGCAGTTGATTTATTCTGAGTTTTCCCATCATCCCTTTTAAAATATAATTGATCTTAGATTGGTTTACATGTTGGATTTCCCTTTTAAAGTTACTGTCATGTGCTGTCCTCAGCAAACTGATGGTTATCCTCAAGGACTATGTGGACAAAGCCAATGAGAAGACACCCCAGAGTGAAAACTCTCTGCTCCCTGCTGTCAAATCCCTGGAGTACATCTTCAAGTTTATCATCAAGTCCAGATACCTTTTTTCCATGTAAACATACTTATTTTACTATATTTATTTTTTTTGTCGCCCAAAATTCATATTGAAGAGACATCTCAAATTTAGTTGTAATCTCAGAATAGTGAGACTGAAGTTTCTCTTTACAAACACACACAGGAAATCTATATGTTTACTTATACTGTGACCATTTGAAGTTATATGGAAGAATGAACATGTTTTAGTCGGCAACTCCTCAAGCAGTTACTGATTTTCAAGCTTTCAATATCTAGTGAATGGCTGATGGGTGCTCTAGTGTAGTCTGCTCACTCTACCCATTTTTAACACTTTTATTTTCTGAATATGTACCTGATGATATAGGGCAATTTGTGTACTGATTTGCTGAAAACAATAAACTCAACTGTATTTTCTGTCTAAAGCTATTTTAAAGTTCTTTATAACTAGTACAACTGTTGGTGAGATGATAATCTTCACTGATATTTGAGGTCTTTTAACCTTAAGTTGACGAGTTGCAGAAATGATTTGTTTTTGCTCTCTTGCTAATTAATTCGCTTTGTTTCCAGACTCTTTTATTTCTTTTTTCTCTGAAAGATATGTCTTTCTTAACATGTAAACGAATCCATTGTGGCACATCAGGTAATCTTTGCTGATGCATAGACTGCTTGTTTCATTGTCATGTCTGACTTCAGGGAGTTTTGTCATAACATTCTTTAGCAATGGCTAGTCAAAGAAAGTCTTTTGTGTTGTGTCTTCCTGTTACTTCTTATGATTGTTTGTTTTTTCGAGATCCTCTCATTTCAGATATTGGCATTATCGTGATGATATGCTGTATAAAACATCTTCTAATTTTCTGTCGTGCTCTATCGCAGAATCAACGATGGCCGGGGCAAGCAGCAGTTTGAGATATCCTTGAAGCAGCTCATCACGGCTATCAACAACATGATGGTCTATCGTACAGACAACACTCTGCTTGTGCAGGTGAGGGCAATGTAGCTCCATAAATACAGGAAATCTGTGTCGTAGACTCACTTTGGTCTAAGCCTGTGTCTCGTTTTACGGGGCATCACGTCATGCGCTGTCCTTGCCGCTCCAAAATCAATCTCGTAAGATTATAAAGAACCTGTCTCCTTATACGTGACATGATGTCTAGCCGTGCGTGACTGTCACCTGCGATTGGTCCAAGTAGCTATCGAGACCTCGTCGCGTGTGGCAGATTTGGGGTGTGACAGGTTTAAAGTATCGTTATTGGTCAAAATACCTAGCCAAGGAGTGCCGGTCAACATGCTGTGTGTATGGTGTGTGATGTGGTCACGCATAAGGATGCACTCCCGCGACTCATCGCTAGCGACTGCCGAGCGCGACACGATGTCGTGTCACGCTTAAGGAGACATAGTTAGAGAATTTGTTGCTGGGCTTCTACTGTAGACTTGATAATTGGCTTCTATTTAAAAATGTGCCTCTGTTTTGAATTTGTATGGCTGCATTTCTTTTTGCACATTTCTTGTGTCTTCATCCATGACTTTTTCTATATTCTACTCTATTTTATGAGCAGTGATTTCATCTTCAATTGTTGACACTCTTGTAGTTTTAGTTCAATATCTTATCAGGTATTTTCCCTCTTTATAAACAATATTTTCTAAATTATTACAGGGAGCTGCTCTCAAATACATGAGTTCTGTTATTGGAGACGTCATAACTGTATTTGACCCGGTGGAACTGAGGTATGCCCCATTCTTGTGTTGTAATATTTCTTGATTGTTGTATCCTTAACTCTTTAAACCCTGAGTTTTTTCCACCGTTTCCTGGAGTTTTTTCTACAGTCACTTAAACCTGGTGCACCATGTCTCATTTTAACCCCACAACTTGCCTCCAACTTTTAAATGGTGAAAAAAAAAGGCTTAGTCATTTTTGAAAACTTGGATCAGGAATAGTCCCGAAAAACAAGAAGAAACTAGCAGTAAATGATTCGAAACAGTTGTCACTAGTATGGGACGCTCCCAGCGTCCGATTGGTAACAGGGTTATTACCGCCGATGGGGTTTAAAGAGTTAATGGTGCCTCTTTTTAAAATCCTTGGAGGAAGATAAACTGTTGACCCCAGTTTATAATGGGAGACTAGGAAGAACTAAAATTTAGACGAGCAGTTTCTTTGGCAACCAAAACCTATTTCATAGTGAAAAAGGGGATGGATGCTCTCAGCTAAACATAGCAATATTGTGTCGACTCGGTTCAAGCTATTATTAGATACTTGTCTTCTTTTCACAAAACTGTTTGATGTATTAATTGGCCTTTTTGTGTCTGAAAAGTTTTGATGAATTTATTAGAAATGAATTGCAGACCATATTCACCGTTGTCTGCTTCTGCTCTGGCACTTCGTAGTGATGATTATCCGATGGAGCTGTCTATTGATCTGACAATGTTTTATTGAAAGTTGAAAGCTTTATTGCTGTGAATCGACTAAAAAGCCCTTGTTTGTTGTGACAGGCAGTGAAAAGATTGGCAATGCATTACAACAGTTAAAGTTTTTTTTTTTTTTTTTTCTTTCAGTCAACTTCTGGTCCAATTTGTGGATAATGTTCCTCCAGAGCGACTCACGAAGCAGAAAATGAAGTGCATTGACTCTATCATACAGACAGATCTCTTCACATTGCCCCGTAAGTTTTTTGTTTGACACTTTGTGCTTTAATGCAAAATTTTAGATATGATTTGATTTATTTTTTCATATCAACCTAATTATGCTGGTGATCACACAAGCCTCATTTAGAGGTACTGATGTCTTTGTTGAGTTTGAAAAATTGTCCACAATTTGACTACTTAAAACCCTCTTGTCTTTCATATATTTGCAATGTGTTGTCAGGGTGCCGCTATGTGCTGCTGCCAGCATTCCTTCAGCACACTCACAAACTGATGGAGGCCAATCAAGAGATGGAAGAGTGCGTCTCTATGCTCAGTCACACCATGGTGCGGCTCTGGAACTGTGATGTAAGCTTTTCTACTTCTTTAGCTTCACCCTTACCAGCCTGCTTTTCTGTTTTTGGCTCTCTTACAGAGTAGCTTTTGTGGGTTTTTCTCCTGAAGAAAAGAGAGGAGAGTACAAACGGATTATGCCGGGATCTTATTGCGACCATAATTGCTATCTTGGCAAAGCCTTTTAAAAAATTTTCACTCTTAAGCGCCTGTGGCCCGTCTGGAATCTCTGCGCTCTTTTGTGATCAAAGCTCATATGCGGCACGATAGCATTTACAAGTTCTGATCTCAAGCATGTCAGGGGAGGGCTGGACTTACAAGTTATGTTTACTTATAAAAGACAGTTTAATGCAATTTTTTTCAAGTTAACTTTCTGTTGATATGCACACAGTAATCAGGAGAATGTGATAGTGTAAAAAAGTCCATTTGGCAAAATTGTCACTTACGAGGTCTTATCATGGGGGCATCGATATATCTTCTGCCTAGCACTGCTGCAATTGATCATTTTTCTTTATCATCATGATTATCATTGTTGTTGGTACTATATTATTATAACTGTTGTTGCAATCATTAATATTATCATTTATGTTGCTATTATTATAAATGTATTTTTTATTGTTATCCATTATGCTCATGCCAAGAATTTTGTTCATTTTAAATGAGATATAGATTTCGAAATGTGTTGTAACGATTATGTAATCATTGTCTTGGATTATTCTTTAATGCCACAGAGCTCCAGGGATGTTGACATTTCCCTCCTGATGGAGAAAGTTCTGCGGACTGTGATACAGGCAGTGATCAATATGGACCAGTCCATGAAGCAAGTGGTGAGTTCTCTTTGTCTGGTCATAAGCTCAACTTGTATTGGATGTTTACTGTATGGTGCCATCAGAGATTTGAGGGGAAAAAATAGATTTGGTACCACTTTTATCCAAAAAAATATATTGTTTGTAACAGAGAACTTGCGTTTTCTGGATAAGATTTTATCTTCTATGTAGCCAAATCTTTTTTTTGACCTGTTGGTTTTATTAATGAAATTGAGCAGTGTGTTTGCTATTCCTAGGGTACTATTGTGTCGCAAAGTTTTCTGTTAACCCTTTCAGGACATGTACCCTATAGATCGGCCATATAACTAGTTCTTTCCATATATTATATTGTATAAGATTCGTCCTGAAAGAGTTAATGGATTGAGTGGCTGAGAATGCACTGCTGTGCAAGTGTCCCTACCTCTAACGTTTGATTCTAACAGACAGACACTTTCTCTCTCCCGCTGTGAGCTTTGTTGGAGCAAAAGGAGAAAAAGACTGCTTAATGACAACTCTGTGCCATTTAACGCTTTGTGCATGGCTCTGGAATGAAAAGTTTAAACTGGTGGTGTACAGATTTTGAGGTCAGAGTTGTGAATTTTTAGTGATAAAAGCAGAAGGAAAGGCATGGCATAAGTGTAATTTCAGCATTTTGAGGAGTGAGGATTGTTAACGACAAAAAGATTATATTATGGGATTTTTTTTTGTTAGTGATACAAGTCATGGACTACATAAGTGTTTTCACATAAAAGAACTGGCAACATTTGGAAAACATAATGAGAGGGGGGATTGAGGACTTTGGCAAATAGTGTTCCTACAAAATTATAGTAAATGGAGGCATTAAGTTTAAGGAAGGGTCATCAGATTAAAAAAGTAAAAAAAAAAATTTTTTTAATTATCGAGTCTCTTCTTTTCAGTGTATTGGCCCAGAAAACTTGGTTAAAAAAAGGGGAAAAAAACAAAAAAAAAACCCAAACAAACTTACCCCCCGGGGCGATGCAACTGACTGAAATGTCTTTAGGCGCATTCCCAAAGGGGGGACATTTCTCGTTCTAATGCACTGTAGAATTGTAAATGTCATGCTCATAACTGTGCCTGAACTACAACAGAGAACTGCTGCTTTTTCTTTCCTATTTCTTTCTATCATCATTTTCCTCCACTTCTTTTGTATGTTTGTCACACTCTTGTGACCCGTTTTTTTCGGGGTGCCTTGAGAGTCCAAGCAGACTTTGTGTGGTTAAAGCTAGAGAGGTGAGCAGAGTAAGACTGATTCCTTGTAAGGACTTCTCTGTTGACATCCATCCCTTGGCGCTCATATGACCTTATGCAGTTGCGAGCACCGTAAAACCTCTACTAAAACTTTTTTAAAAACCCAAAAAACTTGACATGCTTACTTACCAGTTGTAATCTCAGTAAACGGACGTTTTTTTGCACTTTTCTCATCCGCTTTTTTTCTCTTTCGTAAATTTTTGTTCAGAGCCATTAAGCAGTGTTCTTTTTACACAGGTACACAGACAGTTTCTTATTGGTACCCTCACTTTGATCTTTTGCTCTCTATATATGTAAAAGGTCGAGTGATGCGGTCCAGTGGTGACAGCCATAGTCGTTTTTAATTTTTATCCTGTTACAGCTCTTCTGTTAGAGAACATACCATCTGCCGACAGCTGCTTGAGCTGGTGGTCTTCTTTGTCGTGTTCTATTTACCATCAGGATGATCAGAGGGAGTCACTGCATCGAGACTGAAGGAATGTGTGTGACATAGTGGTAAAATCAGACGCTCATCAGAATACTTAAATCAAAGAAACTGGCCTCTTTCGCCCCGTTAGGCAATTTTTATCAAATATTTGGGGGGGGGGGGGGGCCTTTTATGTTTTATGTCAGCGCCTTTAATGTTCATTTGTGTATGGATTTTATTGAAAAATGTTGATCAATGGCACAAAAAAATGTAAATTTGTAGTTTTCAAGGATACCTAAAATCACCAAGGCTATTTTCTTGCTAATTCTACCTCTGACAAAAGGTGACCCCTACCTCCTTCAATGGCTGATATGTGTACTTCCATTCAAGATGGATGTGAATTCTTTGTCAGAAACAAGACCAATGAGCAAACTTTAAGATAATACCACTTACTTTATATGCCCAAAAATTGATGAGCACCTGATTCTTCCGTGACTTGGCACATTGTCCTCTTCTAGATCTCCGTATCTTCTGTTGTTAACTAGCGGACTTTTTTTTCGGATTACTTTTCTATAATGTAGTGTGTACATGATGAGCCATATTACTGAACATGCACAGGCTTGAGTTTGCACCGTGTCTGATGACTGAGATAATTTTCTAAATGGCATTTGTTTTATTTTATCGACAAATGACATGCTAATAATGTTAACTTTAACCTTTTGTCACACTGACAGCAAACAATTAAAAATCGTAGGCTGGAGGTAACGGAATGAAGGAACTATACATTTCCTTGTTTCTATTTCCCTTTTGCTTTGTTTTTTTATTCCTCACCGTATTACATTACAGTTACTGGTGCATTATGGAAATTTTCTTATTGTGATTTTTGAAGGAAGTCCCAGAGGTCCTATAGTAGTCGCCGTTTTAATTTGTGTTTGTTAGAAATTTTGCACTTCAAACTAAGGCCACAAAAATATAGTATGGTGTTATGAATAATATCATGCACCCATCTTGGCACTTGCATAGGAATGGCATAATAAATTTACTTGTGTGATCTCAAGTTGTTTTGGGACTTTTTGGCTTGAAAAGACCATTATTTTTTTAATTATCAGTTTTGATTAAAACAATTCTTCCATTGTTCTCTATTTTGTTAGTTTACTTTTTATCATTTTTTATTTCACCCTTATATTGCCATTACTAAAATAATCTCAGTGCTGGCAAGAAAAAGAACTTTGAGCCTATCTATACAAGGGGACATGGCCCAGCTCTGCCCTGACATAGCCAGTTTGATTCACAGTTGGGAGCCAACTGTCCAGAATTTCGGGAATTTGTAAAACCGAAGCCAGTCCCAATTGATGTAATTTTGTTCATTGTTAGGTAATCTGATGTTAGAGCGTGTGGGGCCCTGATTGGGTTTTGAAAAAGTTGGCAAGCTTTTATTTAATTTTTTTTCTATTTTAAAATTTTTTATTCGACTCTATTTCATTTATCTATTTTCTTTTTGTGTGGTTTTTCTTTTTCATTTAAAAATAATTTTTAAGTGTACAAAAAATCAATTTTTATAATAATTCCTTTTTTTAAGAGGGTAAGAATAAGCTTTTTATAGTTGTGTATTTAAACAGAAAGCATTATTGTGAGAGATGCATGGCATCGTGATGTGACTATTCTCACCAGCAATGCAGAATATCCCAGGAGCTTACACTGGATAAAATCTTCTCTATCCTTTTTATTAAAGTAGCTTTATGAAGTATTTTTTACAGCACAGTCATTCATCACAGAGCTTGCTGGTGGCATTGGCATGTGCTTTGGGGTGGCAGAAATACCACTTGATTTTAAAGCTTTTTGTTTTTTGGCATGGGATCCTCCTCTTGTTCTCTTCTTTTGTCGTCTATTTTGTTTTATTGCATTTGGTATTGTCTGTCCGGCACCCATTCTTTTTTCACCGATTTTCAAAATGGCACTCGGAAGCAGCTGGGACCTTTTATGAATTTGGTATACATCCTATTACACTGTTCACCCCACCACCCCTGTCAAAAGCGAAACAAAAGAACAAAAAATGCAACTCTTAAAAAAAGCAACGCCTAAAGAAACAAAAATAGTAAAATAAAGGACCTAAAAAATAGTTTGTCTTCTTCAGGTGTACTTGATTGTTGCAATGTCATTTTTATTTTTGTTTTGTTGTCTTTTGATTAGTAATCCTACTCCTGAAATCATAGTATGCTCTAACATCTGTTTTTTACCTTTATGACAAAATGTGAAATTAATTTGATCTGTTCTGCATGGACAAAGTAAAATTATTTTTGGGAATGGGTAGAAGACTAGTATATTTTGTGGTATTGGTTGCCACCCTCCTCCTTTTCTTTTGCCTTTTCTCAGGCAACCTCTGTTCCAATCTAAGCTATGTGTTTGCATGTTCCAAAAGAAATTAACCATGAATTGGAGGTAAGCTGACGGAACAGTTTTACAAGTGCTGCTGATATACGGAGCTTTCTCAATTGTATTTTTTTCATATTCAGATGTACAAGTCCTGTTATGATGCTTTGGTAATCAGTACCACTCGTACTTTTTAAGTAGTGTTTTATGTTCCACCTTTTCCCTTACCCATTTTATTGTCCTTTCCTTCCACCCGAACCAGCTTATGGAGAAAAAGTATTTGAAGGTTCGTACAATGGAGTGTACATATCGTATAGTTTGCTTCTGTCACCAAATTTTATTCAGTTACTTTAGTGTTTATGCACCTTTTTATCCGCCGTGGATGCTTCAGTGTTTATTGGTTTAATTTCCATTTGTTTTACTAGACTGACAGTGCAACTCTGTTATGTTCCTGGTGGACTTGTGGTGTTCTAACACTCACTTTTTGAGGTCTGGAGGAACTATCATACAACTTTGTGTATCGTGTGTCATGATCCTGTTGTATATAATTTCTTTATGAGGTAGTGAGTGTAATTGTTTCCTCGCTGAGCAAAGAAGCTTTGATGTCTGGCTCGTAAAATGGTTACAGGTGTCGGAGTCAGCTGAAAGGGTAGTTCAAAGCTACTTTGTTTAGTTCACATATAAAACTACTAAACCTTAGAGGCCTTCTAATATATACTCTTCTGGTTCCTTTTTGTTATTCCGTCCTCATGATCTCCTGACTTATCTGTTTATCCTTCATTGTTTTTCTTTGCTGTCAATTGTTTCCTCTCCACTGAGTGACTTTCAATCCAAAATAAAATACATGCCATTCGCCTGTGTAGAGACCCCTTCTCATAACTTCTTGAGTACATGTAGTACTGTTGTATAGCTCACGGCGTACCAGCAATGGAATTTTAGTCAAACTGGGGGGGGTTCCTGGCTAAACACCTTGTTACTTTGGATTCTCGAGGGTCAGTTTCCTGTTGCCACTCTGGCTGAGCTAAATTAAATTTTGGTACTTTTCAGCCTAAAGTTTTAGGTGTGTCCTTGTACTCATGGTACTTATTACATTTAATGAATCCACGGCAAGAATTTCTGCTTTTTAGATAAAAAAAGAAGGGAAACCGTAACTTGTTGCGGAATTTTGTCAGTGGCTTTAGAAGATAGCAGTGCTAAATTGTGATTTGTTGGGACAAGTGTGATTTTTTTTTAAAAATCAGTATAAAAAACACAACAAAAATTGCTCAGCTTTTGAAATTTGAAGGACACAACATTGATGGAGGTATTTGCAAAATGGATTTTCTACTTAAATGATAGGGAGCTGTATTTCTTCACCTTGATCCACCTCGCACACAATGTGCTAGGAATTATTCTGATACACTGTTCCTTCAAATAGAACTTCATGTGTCTAAATTCAGTTTTGAATATCCACAAAACATTTACACAAAGGTTTTTAAAATTACGCTGTATTCTCCCTACATAGTACAAATCTGTTGCTGTGCCAAAACATTGCTGAACTGTGTAATATGCACAATGTCTGTTAAGCCGGAGAATAGCCTTACTTAAAAAAACAACAACCTTTTAATTTCCTAGGTTTTGTAAGTTGACTGATGCACTGGGGGAACCTGTGTAGTAGTGACTGTATTTTCAAAATGACTCCTGTGTAGTAGTGACTGTATTTTCAAAATGAATTCTAGCTTTTTGGTAAAGTTAATTCCACAAGCTTTGTTTTTTTCAGTTTTTCAATCTGTTGGTTGGCTGGTTCCAGTGCCCTTTTCTTCGAACGTTCCAACCCCAAACTTGTGCTTCTCCATCTAGCTGACGCAGTGATATTGCACTATTTCTCTCTTTGGTTTGACGCACCCTTTGTTGAGTCTAGTCTGTGGGCATAAAGGGAACAATTTGAAGTTGTATTCTCCTCGCTAAATTGGCACCAGACTTTCTAAACTTTTAAAAAAAATTTCTCAAGTCACTTGCAAAGTAAGGCCACTTTTAGATTTCTTCACGCGTACTTCTGACTCCAAAACTGAAAATGAATATCATGGCTATCATTTTTAATTTCTATTCCATACGCAAAAAAGTATGTGTCTGCTCATGTCTTTACACAGTTCTGAGTGTATATGATCACTTAGCTGTCCTAGTTGTGTATGCAAGCTGCCACAGATATGGCATAGTTTATGAACAAATGCAATGTTTGTTTCTCTTGTGTGTTCCATGATAAAGAAGGCACCAACACTGAACATACTTTGCAAAAAAAAACATTTCTTCTCTTTAACTTAACTGTTATTTTGTAAGCAGATTTAAGATTTCTTTGGGAAAAGATATGATACTCGTAGTCACTGCAGTTAAATTCAAACTTAAGATAGATTTATCAGGTTGATGTTAAATAGATAATTTATTATTTAAACGTATCAAACGAGAAATACAGCAAATTGTAAACTGTACAAACACTCATTTAGAACAAAAATTAAGGCACGGTACATAACCACTCTAACATAGACTAACATAGACTAAATTTTCGAAACATTGACTTTTCAGTCCATCAGTTTAATGGTTTGCTGTTGGGGATAGAGAGGAAATTATATTGTTTCAAAAATGGACAAAAATTCAAACTTCTTAACCGATACCAACCAAGTAACGGCTGCGCTGATTAACCCCGTTGACCCCGCACTAGCTAGTTCCGATAGGCTGATGAGGCATAGACTCTGTTGAAAAGTAAGTAACGCCGTGAGCTCTCCTCCCCATATCTGTGTGCCCATAGTCATGATTTATGGTACCTGTCTGCTGGCTCTTCCCATTGACCAAACTCATTTGTTTTTACTCTTAACAAGTTGACACCATCCTTCCTCTCCCTCCACTTTCTTCCCCCCTCCCCCTATCTCTCTATACATTCTTCCATTTTATTTTCATTTTTTCCCCTTCCCTTTTCTGTCTTTCCCATTGACTCTGTCTGTCTGTCTGTCCGTGTTGGTGTGTGTCTGTCTGTCTGTCTTTCTTTCTCTCTCTCTCTCTCTCTCTCTCTCTCTCTCTCTCTCTCTCTCTCTCTCTCTCTGTCTGTCTGTCTGTCTGTCTCTCATTGTCCGTCCCTGCTGCTCTCTGTCTTGTACATTGAAAAGGATAAACTTTCTGGCTTTAAGTAATTTGCTCAAAATGCTATGTGACTATTGTACAGTGTAGGCCTAAAAATGTATCGCTTTAATAGTTAATAGGTTCACTGCAGAGAGACAGTATCATGAAGTGTCTTTACACTTTCTCTATAGGAAAAAGTTACAGCTTGCTTTAGCTCTGCCATAATATGGTATATTTTTGTTTATAATTTTGGAATATTTTTTTTCTTCCATTTATAAAACAAATATGTTGTTTGTAAGTTTTTAGTGATGGTGTGCTGCATGTGTTTGTGAGTGCACGCTCTTGTGTTTCTGTGTGTGTGTGTGTGTGTGTGTGTTTGTTACAGTCAGTATATATGTTCAGTTTCTTATAGCTTGTCAATCTCCGTGACTTGATAGTCTGACATCATGGAGTCTGTTCCAGTCGTTATATTGGTATTGCTGAGGGAGGGAGGGAGGGGTAATTTTTGTTTCCCTTTAAATATTGAGACAATAGTTTTCATAATTAGTAACAATATGTTAGGGTGAAAGACTTGCTGAGCTGACTAGATATGATAGTTTGTGAAAACCTATTTCAACTTGATCTATAACTTTTTAAGTTGCTGTCAAATTATATATATATTTTTTTAATAAGTAACTTTCTTGGTCTTAATTCTTTTATTTTTTTCTCTTTTACCTTGTATCAGGATACTGTCAACACTTTTGTTATCTTATAAAAAGTTCACAATTAAATCTCTAATGGGAGTAAAATGAGATTGAGGCCATCAATTTTCATGCATCCTGCTTTGTACAACATAATGTTTAAGGCATCACTTGTGTTTGCTTTGTTTTCCTTTTATAAAACAAGCAAAGAAGAAATGAACAGAATTTCCTGTGGCATAATAGTTTGAACCAAAACATATATGTTATGTATATACTTTGTGGAATTGAAACAAGACTAAAGAAACATGTAAGATTCATTTTTCTTAATGTTTTGTTTTACTCTAGAAGATTTACCTTACCTAATTTGTTTTTTCTACTCTCTATAAAGATGACTTTTTAAAAAATGTAGTCCCATTTGCTTTGCATGTTAGCAAAGTAATATTAATTTTTCTTCACAACTACATGAGACTAAGAAGACTAATAGAATTCATTTTCCAGGTTTTCATTTTCAAGTGCACTTTTTGGTGTTTTCTTTTCTCATCCTTCCTATGTCTGACAACTCTTGGGAGAAGGTTTTCTATTATCCAAAGATTTTGTTCCTTGCTGTAAAGGAACTTCTTTCTGTCCCTGCTGTGGGCTTGGTCATTCTTGTTTCTTCCCCCTGCCTCATTCGTGGATCCTGACAAAACAGTCTGAACGGAATGCTTTTATGATTAATTTGCAGGTTGAGCGTTTGAAATGTATAAATATTAAGCTTCTAAGTTCAATTTAAGAATAATAAGTTGTTTCTTTTTGTTTTTATTTAAGCAGTACTGTGCTGAGTAATCAGTTTGAAAGGTCCAAGTGTAAACTGTAATTATATTTAAAAAGTCCACAAAAAAGAAAACCAGCAACCCCAAAGCAGGGCTACATTGTTGTTCTGACTTGTCATTTAGAGAAGTTAAAAAAATCGGAGTATATTTCAGATTATTTGAATTTTGTTTTCTGTAAATACTGTTATTATCACTTGAATTTTGGATCTTGAAGAGCCAGGTGGCTTGTTGCCTATAGTGGGAAAGGTGTTTTCACTGAGGAGTTTTGAGAAGAGTCTTGAATGACGTTTAGTTGTCATGGTCCCAGCTGAATCGTACTGTATATAGTATGCCCCATGCAATTAATTCAAAATCTGGCCTTGTATATATCCTGAAAATGGCAAGTGACCACCCACCCACGGTGTGACAAGCTTGCTACAGCATGAACAATGTCCACATGTGCGAGTATGAGCCCAGACCTATGGCTTCACCCACAGCTATTGTTGGTTTTCACCTCACTGATTTTCTTCTATGAACTCTTGGAAATAATAATTTTCTTTGAAACATTTGACTAGTAGCTCAAAATCTTTAGTACATGTATGTCTTATTCTCCGTAGAATAAGTTAATTTTTTTCATTTCTGTTTTTAGAGCAAGACTCACAATATTTCATCTTGATTTGAAAAGATTTGAAATAATAGCGAATTCTTCTCAATTTCTGCTGTATGTTTTGTGAAAAGTAATTCTTTACGAAGGTATCTTATACAGTTTCTATTCTCACTGATTAAAGCATTATAAGGTTGACAGAGTTTAACTCATTTCTGATCTCCTAGTTCTCATAGTGTAAATATTTGGAGCACGTTTGCTTTATTGTGCCTTGGTGTTACAGCAATTCTTTGGTCACCAACCTCCGCCCAGCGTTTCTTTTGAATCGGTCAATGTAAGTATAGCAGATGTTCTCATTCGTTTACCATGTCTTTGTGCTGAGGGAGATGTTTTAGAATCATTACCAACAGCACTTTCATGACAGATGCACTGAGGAGTAGCATGTTCAAGACTGATGATCGATATCAGTTACCCTGTTACATGCCTCTAATTGAGGCAATCAGCATGCCGTGATCTCTTTGTTGACAACTTGTTACTTGCATCATTTCTGTCTATGAATGCCGTTGTTTGTGTCTGCAAGTGTTACTGTTGTAGAAGACCTGAAGTCAGGCATGCGTTAGATCTCGTTCTGGAATGATGTTATCGTCTTTTGCTGCATTTCTACTTCTCATTTTGTCTCTGTGACTTTTCAATATTTCTCTCAATTTGTCTGTTTACCTGTTTGCCTCATTTTTTAAAAATGTGCTTCTCTTTGCCTCAATCTTCAGCTCAAGTGAAAGTTTATCCTGTTTTCCTGTCTGAAAAAGTATTGTTTTCACCTTGTCAAATGTGAAGTGTCATGTGTGCTGCACTGAGCAATTTGTTAATAGAACTGAAGAACACCAGAAATTTTGCACTGGACTGTAGGAGTCTGCAGTTCCACATTTTGCCAGCTGCACTCTCTAGTCCATCATATAGCTGTTGTAGTCATCATATACATATATTTTTTTGGGGACATCATGCTGCAGATATTATAACGCGGCCTCCTATCCTTTTTCTTCTCCCATACAAAAGAATAGGCAACCCTGAAATGGAGTAGAGAATAAGGCTGTTATTCGTTTGTCCTTTTCAACTTTCTAACTCCTACCTTGTATTTGTCTTATCTCAGTTTTGCTTGTGATCCTCAGTCTCAGTGTGTTGTTTTCTTTCTTTAAAAATTGTTTTTGCCCCTTTGAGAAAAGGCACTTTTTTTTCTCTCAATATTTTGACTTTATGACTAAAATATGAGGGATGTAGGGTATTCAGTTAAGTCTGCTCCCACTTAATGTTTATGTCTTGATCTGTTTCTGGCGAAAAGTAGTCATGATCATGTTTTCTGGCCACAAACCGCACAATATGACTATTTGCAGCAAGTCCTTTTTTTTTTCTTAGGACTATCGTCTCTTAAGTGTACTTTGGTATGCTCACTTTTGCTGCTATGAATTGCGAGGTAAACATTAAATCATTCTCTTGAATCACACTGAGAGACATTTTCTTCTGTTCTCTGCACAACCTGTGGAATGCGAGAATGAGAAACACACCTCACTTTTCATGTGTTGGTAATGAGTCTGTGTGTTTATGTGTTCGTCAACTTGTGATACTGGTTTTGTTTTTTGTTTTGTATTTTTTAAAAATAATTTATTGTCATGTATGAATTATAATTTTATTACAAAGGTGGTAGATGTATATTCTAAGATTTGCTTTTTTAGTTCCACTGTATTTTGAATTTGTCGATATATTGTATGGCTGCCTAACAGTAGGATGCAAAGGGGAAATTGGTCATCAGATGAACTTCATCTTTTATTTGCATTTTAGTAATTTTTCTTTTTGCACAGTTTTGTTGTTTTTTTTGTTCAAATATATTGTCTTTGAAATGTATCATTTTGGATTATGTACGCAACTGGTAACTGTTACTATATTGTGAAAATCTTCATTTGTGAGTTATATAATTTGCATATGGATATGACTGAAAAAAAATCATAAATTTAAAAAATTATCTGATCAAAAGAAATACTTTTTCTTTTATCGTTCACTACTAGAATGATAACGCATTGAAATTTTAAATAAAAGTGATATGGTGGTCAGGATATGAAGTGGGTAGAGGGATCCATGGAGAGAAGACATAAATTTTTTAAAATAGGATTTAAGACTGACTTTGATAGTTGTAAGATGTATTGTCTCAAAGAGCAACTCTGTTAAACTTCTAATTCTTCATGAAATGGACTTGTATGTCTACATGTTCATTTGTACTTGTGGTGTGTGTGTGTGTGTGTATATGTTTGTGTGTTGACGTGAGTGTGTAGTGTTAAAGTCTTATATGTATGCATGCATATGAGTGTACGTGCATACACTGAAGGGAAGGTATATAATTGACCTGTCAATGTAGTTCCGCTCCCATCTTCCTCAACCCCCCAACCTGACCCTGCCAGTTACCCGACCCCTTCAACCACCCTACTCCATACCTCACCTCCTCCTCTCTCACACACACACACACTCTCACACTCACACACACACACACACACACACACACACACACACACACACACACACACACACACACACACACTCACATACACATTCTACCCCTTGATCCCCCCTCCTCCCCCCAACAAAAAGCACCTGGTCTCCTGGGATCCCCCCCCCCCAAAAAAAAAAAACAACAAAAAACAACCCCAACTCCTGACCCTGTCTGCCTGCCTGCCGCCCCCTGTGTACCCTGAACGTGTTGTGACCCTTCCACTAGGGCAACTGTGTGGCGGTGATGGTGAGCATGCTGCGCCAGATGACAGACCTTCACTACCGCAACTACATCCTGAGCTTCCCGACCTCCGTTGACTTGATGGACTTCCTCATGGAGATCCTGTGTGTGTTCCGCGACCTGGTCAACCGCAAGGTCTACCCCACCGACTGGCTGGAGATGATCATGATACAGAACTGGTCGGTCTCTTTCTTAATTCCTTTTCCTTCTTTCCTTCCTGTTCTTTAGCTTCTGCCTTGGTGCGGTTGTGTGTTCGGAGGTCGGGTCCACTGCAAGGTCTACTCCATCGACTGGACTGGCTGGAGATGATCAGGATACGGAACTGATCTGCTGTTTTCTTCAAGATAGCCTCTCTCTCTGTTTATTGGCCTTTATTCTTTTCGTCTGTTCTTCCTTCATTACTCCCTTGTTTCGTTTCACTCTTTCTGTCTGCCTTCCTTCTTTTTGTTCTTTTTTTGTTTTTGTTTTTTTTGTTACTGTGCCCTCCTTTACTTTCTTTTTTTCATCATTCCTTTCTTTGTTTTCATTTCCTTCCTTCCTTCGTTCCTTCCTTCCTTCCTTCCTTCCTTCCTTCCTTCCCTCCTTCCTTCCTTCCTTCCTTCCTTCCTTCCTTCCTTCCTTCCTTCCCTCTTCCTTCATTCCCACTTTCCTTTCTTTCTGCCTTTGGGCCTACTTATTCCCCCCCCCCTCTCTCTCTCCCTCTCTCTCTCTCTCTCTCTCTCTTTCTCTCTCTCTCTCTCTCTCTCTCCCTCTCTCTCTCTCTCTCTCTCTCTCTCTCACACACACACACACTCTCTCTCTCTCTCTCTCTCTCTCTCTCTCTCTCTCTCTCTCTCTCTCTCTCTCTCTCCTCTTTCTCTCTCTCTCTCTCTCTCTGTCTCTCTCTGTCTCTCTCTAATACACACACACACTCGCACACACACACACACACACACACACACAGAGTGTAACACTCTTTCTCTCTTTCTTTTTGTCTTTCTGAGATTTAGAAATATTGTGTTACACTGTTTCAAGTTTCTGCCTCACTCACAAAAATCAAAGATGGTTTGGTCTTTTTGAATTTGTTTCTTGTATGTATTTGTATTAAAGCAAACAATTTATTTGACTACAACTCATCATCTTTTCCACCCACAGTGTCCTCCTGCGTGCCTTGAGGTTCTTTGCTTCCACTATTCATGAACATTTCTCTGCTCCCTTTGATCAGCAAGCTCAGCAGGTAATAGTTGAAGTTATACTGTGATGAAGGCATTGTAAAATTGTACAGGATTGGACACTTTAGAAATTATCTACATCATTTTTATTTTTACTGTTACTATTATTATTATTTTATTATTTTTAAAAAAGTAATATTATTATTAAATTTGAACGTCCTTGGTATCTGGTTGTTAAATTGTCATTTACTGATAATGAGAGTACATAAACCTTTTTGTCAGTTTTTCTGTCAGTGGTATTGGCAAAATTATACTCAGGTATCTTAATCTTCTTTTTTTTTTCACTTGTAGAGACAATACCATAGGGCCTACTTAGAGCTTCCTTTCCTCAAGAGCTTCATGCTCATGGATGAAATATCTGTTTTTTCTTTCTTTCTTTTCAGTTGTGGAACAATTTCTTTCACTGTGCCATTGCTTTCCTGACTCAAGATGCACTACAGCTGGACAACTTTTCTCAATCCAAGAGGAACAAGATCACATCTAGGTCTGCTATTGCTTGAATTAGTCTTACAAGAACCTTCTTCTTCTCATTGGTCTTTAAATGGGCGTCCCAGTCGTAGAAGAACCGAAAAGAATGTCTTTAATGTCAATGAGGAAAACCATGTCTGTCCACTTTGTTTTCATCATGCATCATGCTTTGCTGTCACTGTATCCCCCTGCCCCCACCCCCACCCCCAAGTATCTTGTATTTGTATTCGCTTCTTTTTAAATTATTACTTTGCTTTTTTTGCCTATTTTCTACATTTTCAAGTCTTACCACAACCTTAGAGTAATATTTGAGTGTAATTTTTGCAGTGCACTCTTTTATATCTTTCATTGACATGCTCAACCGAATGACTGGGGCTGAAGAGAGGAAAATGGAAAGCTTATTTGATTTTGAAGCAAAATGATTTTGGGGCATGAACTATCCTTGGTAAGACCTATCTTTGCATCCATCTGTTGCTTGTCTTTGTCTTTCAGATACAAGGATATGAGGAGGGAGACAGGGTTTGAAATTCGGGCCATGTGGTTCAAACTAGGTATGTAGCATTATTTCATCTCCTGCTATTTTGTCCACCTTCGTCTCTTTCTCTTATTTTTTGTATTTTTGCCTTTCTCTCATTCTTTAACATTCTGTTATTCCCTTACATCTTTGCTTCTCGTCACTCATTGAGCACCCTATTCAATGTCCCACAAAATTTAGAATAATAATGTTGAATGCACATTTGAAGAACGTATATGTACATTATTGATCTGGATTATAGATTACCATGTTGAATGAATATTTGATATATTGCATGGATTTGCATTATTCCTCAGGTGACAACAAGATCAAGTTCATCCCTGAGCTGGTAGGGCCCTTCCTGGAGATGACTCTTATCCCAGAGACAGGTAAAGAGAAGGCACATGCTTGGCGTCACTTCCCTCTGTCCTCTGTCCCATCTGCTTGAAGCCTTTGGTTTTATGTTGGAGGCTAGTAACAGTGTGTTCACTTTAGATCTCAACGTTCTGGATTCTGTCTCTGTCACTATTGGATTTGAGACTCTAGTAATGTCTCATAGTAGACAGTGGAGACAGGGCATCAACAATGTGATGTTGTTGCGTTGGTGGGAAGAGTGATCCACAGTCTTATTTGAAATGTTTTTCTTTCAATAGCATTGGCTTTGATCTTGTAAGAAACAGCCACTGACAGGGGGTTTCTACTTGAAATGTTTTTTTGAAACTCTTCAATCAGTATAGCTGTTAACATCTATGTTTAAGGTCTGCTCCTTGTATTTCTTTTCTGTGTAGTTTTTTTTTTCTTCATCCGTTACTGAAGTAATACAGCAGACTGGTACTCTGCTACAGAAAATATTATTATTATTATTATTATTAATATTTTAAAAAATATTATTGGCCTCTGCTTACAAACTGGCAAAGTTTTATTACTGATATCTTATTAATGATAGCAATCAAGTATATCCAAAACAACCACCCATTGTGAAGAAAAAAGTGACCACTCTTGACTTCTTTCTCGGACAGTGTCATTATAATATACAATTTTTTTAAATGCAAGAAGGGAAGTGGGAAGTGGTCAGATGATTGTCTTGAGCATGTGGTCATTAGAGCAGGTTGTACTACAGTTTATTATGGGCGCTCAGCCTTCCTCTGTTCAATTTTTCTGCTTTCCTATTTGCCCATTGCAAAATGTAGCATTTATGATGTGCCTGTTACAAGTACTTTACATCATATAAGCTCTCCAATGTCTTTATTTCAGAGCTCAGAAAAGCAACAATTCCAATCTTCTTTGACATGATGCAGCACGAATTCATGCAGCCGATCCCAAACTCTAACAGAGTACAGGGAAACTTCAATGAGGTAGGTTTCTTAGATTGTCATTGCTTACATGGAAAATGGAGGGGGTTCCATAATCAGTGCTAAGGGCCTGTTTCTGCTTATTTTAGCAATATATGAGCAGTGCTTATGCATTGTATTGCTAATTTGATGATAAGGTGATAGCTTTTTTATGGATATATGGAAATCTGTATTGATTTACGGAATGCTAAAATTTTGAGAATTTGTTCCATTCCCACCTATTTTCTATTGTACTCTGTCTTCTTTTCCTCTAACTGCCTCTTGTGACTGTCAAATTCTTTCTATCCGGGGCTTGGAATAAGCAGACACCGTGTTTTATCGTGTTAGACTAAGCCAGTGAATTTATGCCATACAAGAATCAACATGTTGTTGTAACTACGTTGTATATAGAAGACTTCTTTCTATTTTTCTTTAGCTTAAGGTTTTTTGGACTGCTCCTTAGGTTTCTCCTCAGGTTTTCTGTTGCCTTATCTGCTTCAAGAGAAATGTATTGTAGAAATGTGTTTTAGTACAGAGTAGGCTTAAAAAAACATGCTGTGTAAGGCCTGCCTGCAAAATACAATATTTGTTTCTATTAATGTATTATCAGTTGTATCAAAGAAAAATGTTCAGAAATGTGGCCGGTTTTGTGTTCAATTCGTGTGAAAAGGTACCCATGTCTTCTCCCCAACCATACAGGCATCACGGGAAGTAAATCAACAACTGTCAAAAGTAGGATCTGATAAGTGTAAGAGTTCCAAGTTCTTGAAGATTTTTAACACCAAATTTTAATATTTTAGCATTTTAGTGAACGTGTTGACCCAAACCGGACTGTGAAATGTGCTGTTGCGAACAGAAGCAACTTTTTTTCGCGGGCTCATATGACCTTATCCAGTTGCGAGCGCTGTAAAACTCTTACTAAAACAAACAAACAAGGACATGATATGTGAAAAATGTCTTTAAAACCTGATTAATTTGTTTTCTGATTTCTCAACCCATTCAACACCCACCTCACCCCCAGGCTTTTTTATGACTGTGTGGACTGAGGAAGTTGAAGGTGAAATACCTTTCCTTTTGGGAATAATGTTTGTTATGCTTTGTTTTGCTGCCAAGGATTGCAGGCTGGGTTTTTTTTTTGTCCTCAGTTTGAAAATGAGATGATCACCCAGCTGGATGCTCTGATAGAGGGAGGCCGTGGGGACGAGCAGTACATGCAACTCTTCTCAGAAATGTGAGTCGAAGATTTTTCTGTAGTGAAAGAACGGAAATGGTGTGTTTTCAGCGCCCCTTTCAATGCAAGTGGAAGTGGAGCCTTCAAATGTTCAAAATGTGGCAAACTTTTCTCTGCCAGAATTGATCTCATTGACCACAGCAGAAGCCACAAGTCATTGTAACCTTCAATTCTTCAAATACTTCAATTTCGCTGCAGATGTATTGGTCATTCTCAGACAGTGACGGACAAGCTATTATTATTACTAAGAGACTGGGTCTTTGATTTGGCATCCATATTCAATGGAAAGAGATTGATGATGACTCCTGAGACACTCTTGTTTCTAGAATATTCTCATTGGGGACTCTGGTATGGGTTGCCTTTCCATCAAACTTTGTGCCAACTGAACTGACTCGGCTAGAGAACTGAAATACTTTAAGATTTTAAAAACTAAGATGGCCAGTGGTAAAAAAGCTTTAAAGATATAAAGGTAATAGTTGTTGTTTTTTTAATTGAATATCAACTTGGCAACACTTAACACTTTTAAAATGTTGGGTTCGAAGGTCATATTTCTTTTATCCATGTCGTAATAAAACAAAGCTAGCTTATTTATATATGAATATATATATATATATAACAATAATAATGATAATAATAATTGCATTTATATGGCGTGCTCCACAGCATGTTGTATGCACTTTACAACAATTATATATTTGCACAAACAGCATAAAAAACAATTCCCTGATCACTTGCTCCTCTGCAGCATGGCCCATCTGTGTGAGGGCAACCCCACCCTGTGTGAGCCAAGCCTGCAGTTTGTATCAACCATTCATGACCTACTAGAGCGACTCATGGTCTACCGCACCATCATACAGGACGAGGTGCGGGAACACCGCATGAGCTGCATCGTCAATCTGCTGGTAGGTTCCTCAACAGATTATAAAAAGAAATTGGTCTGGTAACAAAAATGTAAAATTTCATATGTATACATTACTATATATTGTGAAGGAGTAAGATTTTTATCATATTTGCAAAGAATTTTATATATGTCTGTTCATCCTTGAAATCAAAAGTTAGACTGGTGATATACTATCTGTTTTTGGCGCTTACATCACCAAAACTGTTGATAGTGTGGTAAATGTCTACTTTGTCACTTAATCAAAACATGTACTTCAACTATATACTCAGGTTCTAGTAAACAATGTTTTTTTTTCTTAACTCTCTCCTGTCAAGCCCAGCAAAACCCACCTGCTTGCTATTTTGTCTCTGTGAATTTAAACGATCCTGAAACTGCGTATGTTGGGAAGCAAAAGTCTTAAGCTGTAAACTAACTTATGTGGTTAACTTTTAGTTATATTTTGGGTGTATTTATTAGAGGTAAATGTGGCATTTGCTAGAATTTCAGCTTTTAACTACATTTTATTGGTTACGAATGGGTGTTTAAAAAAGAACCAGTGATTTGTTTTGCATAGTTACAAAGTATGCCACCCACCTTCTCCTGAAACCTGACAACTTCCATTAAGACACAAAAAACAACTAGGGAACATGCTCTTATGATAGTATGGTGTACTATATTTCTCCCAAAGCCTGTTTCTCACATGACCTCCACTACCCACCCGCTTCAGAGTCTTGCTGAGCTGATCAAACGATCAAATAATTAAAATGGTAACTTTTTCCTTTTTCTTCCTTCAGGACTTTTATCACGACATCAATAGGCAAGAGATGTACATTCGCTACTTGCACAAACTGTGTGACCTTCACCTTGGCTGTGACAATTACACAGAGGCTGGTTACACGCTTCTTCTCTATGCCAAACTCCTCCAGGTAAGCCTGGTGATGATATAATTATAAAAGCTAGTGTTGGTGTCATCACAATATGTGAGGCACGCTGACAAAGAGGAGTTACTTATGGCAGTCCGTGAATGCAAATGTAGGCGGAAAATCGACACTGGGGTCAAATTTGTAGTTTTTAACTGATGCCATTCTTTTCAAGTTTAACACGTCTTTTATCATTTCATACAAATAGATTGTATCCTTTGGGCTAAAATCTGAGAAGTAACCCATTTTGTCACCGTGCCTCACATGTCCAGCTTTGGGAAGTCTTTGTTTACATCAGTTGAACTTTCCTAGTAGGGTTTAGTTTTGGCCGTTGGTCTGACATAAAAGAAATATGGAATTGCTTTGATGGCAATACTTTCTATGCAAGAAGCAGCATGTTAACTAAATCTGCTTGTTTGTCACCTTTTCCATTGGTAGTATTTCATTCTAATACTGTGCTGACACATGGGGACAAAATGACATTTTAAAATTGCTGCTTACAAATTATGTGTGTGTCTGTGTGGGTGTGTGTGTGTGTGTGTGTCTTTCTATGTGTGTTCCTGTGTGTGTGAGAGAGAGAAAGAAAGATAGAAAGAGAGAGAGAGAGAGAGATTGTGTGTGTAGATGTGTGTGAAACAGAGAGAGAAAGAATTAGGTTTTTTTTTGTGGAGCATTTTATTTAAAATATATGCAAACTTTATTGTTACTGTTGTTGTCGTATTTCTTATTCTTTTCTGTTTCTTGTTTTTTTCCAGTGGAATAATGAGGCCTTGGCTCCTATGCTGTACTACAACAAATACCCTACTGCCAGCACCCACAGAGAGCTCAAAGAAAAACTGTACTATGATATCATCTCACATTTTGAGGCTGGCAAGGTCTGTTCGATGTATTTTGTGTGTTTCTTATCCTAGTAGGAAGATTTATTCCACAATGACACACTTAGTAATAAATCATGATATCATAACATTTTTAATCAGTTGTAGGTCATTGACGAAAGTGGCCGGATTTTGACCAACTTCTTGTTACAAGATGTAACAGACAATATGATTGGTGAATTTTATGTCTCTGCGCTTGCATTTACCTTGACCCAAAAAGGTTCGATTTTTTTTTCGTAGCTGGTTGGCGCCCTGCAGACCACATATTTGAAAGTCACTGCATCGTCATTGCTTGACATTCTGTTTTAGGCTGTGCTCACTGACCTGTGGAGCACTGGGGCTCTGTTGACCTGTTACAGAAAGTCTGTTGGGAAATATTACATTATTTTAGTACGTGAAAGTGTATATGAAGGGCCTTCTCATGAAGGCTTAAACTGTTGTCATTATTTCTGTTGCAATGCTATAGAATTCAGGTCTTTTTTCTTTTGACTTCTGTTAGACATTGTTTCTAGTATCACTGTCATTAACATGCTTCAATAATGGTCACAAGTGTGTATCATAGGTTTGAATAAAAGGAGGAAAACTTCCTAATTTCGCTTTTTTACCTGTCTTCTTTCTAGATGATTTCTTCACTCTTATATTTTTTTTCCTTTGTCAGATGTGGGAGAAAGGCATTGAGCTATGTGAAGAGCTGTGCCAGTTGTACAGAGAGGAGCTCTTTGACTACGAGAGCCTGAGCAAAATCTTGGTGAGTCAAGTTACTCATGCTGACAATGGTACCACTTGTCACACTTTGACCAAATTGTTGGATGTTCATCACATTTTGGTTTCTTGAATATTTTTTGCTGTGTGTAAAACGGTAGGTCTTTGGTCATGTATGTGATTTCAAAAGTTTGAGAAATATTATTTAGCCCAGGTCAGGGTTTCTCAATCCAGTTCTGTTCTTATCAGATTGTACCTTTCATTGTGTTATAGACTGGTGTCGGTGGCCTAATGGTTAGGCTACCAGACTCGTAATCATGAGGTTGCGGGTTCGAGGGTTCGAGCCGTGGGCCCGATGTTGTGTCCTTGGAAAAGGCACTTAACACGAAATTTCCTCACTTCACCCAGGTGGGAATGGGTACCCGGCCATAGACAGCCAAAGATCTTGTCAGTATGTTAGTGTTTTAGCGCCTATAAATGGGTATGCTGTATGCTTCTCAGGAAGTTGAGGTTGTTTCAAAATGCTCTCTGGTCTGCTAGGGTAATAGTATAGATCGTGAAGCGCATAGAGCTTGCTGTTGAGCAGGCAGGGATTTGCGCTCTGCAAATTCTATCTATTATTATTAGACAACAAATAAAATCCTTTGATAATGGTATTGCAGGCATAGTAAAAAAAAAAACCCAAACTTTGTTGCAAGTTTAAGGCTATCTGTTCTGAGTTCTGTTCTGTTCCAGCAATCATGTTTTTTTTAGACTTTAAGAGGACACTTTTCATTTTGATCAGTGGTGAGAAATCCCAAGGCTGCTGACAGTTTGAAATGTTATACCAATGTGTCACAATGATCAGAATGTTTGAGTCTTGTAAGTCATAATTATGACCTGTAAAAGTGTTTTGTCTAGTTGTGAGGTACATAAATAATACAATGAAGCCCTTGACGTTATGTTCACAGAAGCGACAAGCTGAACTGTACGACTGTATCCTGAAGCAAGTCCGCCCGGAGCCTGAGTACTTCCGTGTGGGGTACTTTGGGCAGGGGTTCCCTTCTTTCCTGCAGGTAAACTGATGTTGCATTTAGAAATTGTGAAGCATCATGGTGGAATCAGGCGCTCGTCAAAATAATGATATCGATGAAAACAGCATTTTTATTTCCCCATTTGGTAATTTTTAAGGAATTTAAATTTTTTGGCAAAACACCTTTCATGTCCATTTGAAAATTGTGGAATTTTAAAAAAAAATGTTAATTGTAGGCACAAAAAATGTAAACTTTCCCTTAATAAGGACTCTCAAACTTTGGAAGTCGTCAAACTTTGGCAGCTGTTTTCTCGTTAATTTTACCTCTGAAACCTCCTTCAATCCGAAATATCTTGACTTCTTTTGAAGATAGATAGGTATTTCTTTTATCAAAAGGAAGACATATTCATGAACAAGCTAAAATGATACCCATAACTCCATATGCCCAAAAATTGATGAGCGCCCGATTCCACCACGCCGTGACACAATTGGTGCAACCAATTGCCAGCCATAACCCTGTTAACTGCTGTCTTTGTGATTTGTTCTATTCATTTGTTTTCCCCTATGAATATTTTTAAAAGCAAGAACCAACTGGTACAAAAGTTCATTCATACCATCATCAGTACAAGATCTTCAGTCATTGTCTTCTGGTCATGATCTTGCAAATTTCTCTTGTTTGAGATAAATGATGAATCTTAGTGCTACAAATACATTTGCTTTGTAAAAGTTTGAATCTAAGTGGGGTCAGAATTATTTTCTTGTCTGTCTGAGAATTTTCTTTGAGCATAGTATCTTGATGAGGGACCAGGTGCCCTGCCTTGAAATTGACATATAATCTGTCAAGTGGGTCACTGAGCTCCTGTAATGACAGTATCATGGAGTATGTTGTATTATTTTCATCATGTTGAATCAAAAGAAACCTGCCAGGCTTTTGTTGATGCTACTATGCTTTCATAAATTCTATTCTACCCTGCTCAAATCATAGCTTCACGATAGAGAAGATGATAAACTTTAACAGAGACTTTATCTTTGAATAGTTCAAATAGCAAATACTTTTTTTGCATGTGCAAACAAAACAAAACTTTTCATGTGCAGCAGTAGTATTGTTGAAAGTGTCTGTTTTGTGATTCTAAAACTTTTTTAAAGCTTTTGTTGTCAGTTGTTTCCCTCATTCATTCTGTTATGATAGGTCTATTCTACAGCATATATTGAGAGTGTTAGATTTTATCAAGGTGATGTTTGTTCCTGGTTGCCAGATGGACTATACACGTGTTTTGCACCCTTTGTCTGTGTCTCTCTTTTTATGCAATAGATGTACATCATAGTTCAAGAAGTACTTTTTTGTCACTGTTGCTATAAAATTGAGAATCTCCATCCAACTCTTCTTTGCAGGGTAAAAACTATACCTTGGTGTGCCCATAATGGTGCAACACAAACAAATTAAAATGTGTTTTTCTTGTGCCTCTCTTGTTTGTTGTGTGATGTCATGCTTTGTACATTTTACATGTTGCTATTCTGTGTCTCGTGTGTTCTGCACTCAGAACAAAGTGTTCATCTACCGAGGGAAAGAGTACGAGAGACTAGCAGACTTTAACACCAGGATGCAGACGCTGTTCCCTCATGCTGAGGTGAGTAGTGAGCTCAGAGATGAAAAGGCTCTTTCTGCTGTACACCAGTAATAGGGTCATTTTCTTTTTTTTTTTCATTTCCAAAATTCTGAAAAAATTTGATATTCTTAACATCTGTTCTTACATCTGTGTAACAATGTCATTGTGTCTTATGTGATAAAATCTAGCCTGTTCTGGATATTTACTGACCCTGCATTTATGTAACAATTGAATTTTATTTTCCTTATTTTGAAAGCTCTGAGATTTATTCCATCATCTTTGAAGTTAGATGGACAGTTTTAATTTTACAAATATTAGCCGTTGAGTCTTTGCTTTGTACAGCATAGTTTCAACTTATAGCTTGACCAACCATCATGCCGTATTGTATCGTCATCATTGCCATTCTCACCCTGGATCAGGATATAGGCCAAGAACAAACACTCTCCACCTTTCCTATCCTGGGCTAGTCTCTTGATGTCACTCCACGTCTTCCCACTTTTCTGTACATCCATTTCCGTGACTCTTCTCCAGGTTCCACATGGTCTTCCCCTTGATCTTTTACCCTGCAGGTTCCAATCTAACACTTTTCTTGTATACCTTAATAAAAATGTTTTGTTTTAATAGGCAATTTTGTTTAGCAATTAAATGTTTTTCTTTGATTGTGAAATCTAATTTTTTAAAATTTCAGTTGATGCGTACGCTGGATCCCCCATCAGATGAAGTCTTGAATTCACGAAGGCAATGTATCCTTTTTAATATGAAATATGCATGGTTTATTAAGTGTACAGTTGGTTGGCATTTTTGTCTTCCATTTCTCTTGTAACATGCCTTTTTTCCACATCCTCCTTTAGTGGCTCTTGCCTGTCAAGTGACCATCAACTACTTTTTAAAAGTTTTTACCATCTATTTACCACTGTTTCTTTTTGTGCTTGTGGGCATGTTAATGCACCCTTGTTTGCACCTGCACTCTTGTTGCCTGTAGTCTTTTATTTTATTTAGGTCTTTGCACTTGTGTGTCTGCTGCTGAGTAGAATTCTTATTTTCTTTCACTTAATAGCTATTTAGGGTCTAATGCCCTGTGTATTCGATTCATTTGATATAGTCAAGCCGGCCAGGATTTTCCATAAAGCTACCTTTAATACACAGTTTGATAAAATCCTCCTGAAACAACCATGTTAGATTTTTGGAAGATAAAATTGGGCCAAAATGGCAGCTTTTGTCCCTCTAACAAGGAAAATCCGCTTGGCCTGACTCAATTTGACTGAATTCAATTGGCAGTGTGCACTGGGTATAAGGTAACTTTTCACCCTGGTTGTATCTTTGTGAGTCCTCCAAAATTTTGATGCCGTTTCCTTAACTGTGCCAAGTCCTGCAGATCAATGCAGTCACACCTGTGATGGAGTTGAAAGAGAGGTTCTTGAACCGGAACATCAATGAACAAATCCTCAAGTATTATCGGGTCAATGGAGTAGAGCAGTTCACGTTTTCCAGGAGATCCGAAGAAAGCTCCAGTGATGTTACGGTAAAAAGCTTCTTCATTGCTTATATTTTTTTTTCATTGGTGTGGGGGGAGGATTTGATCATTGGTCACCTGAATGTAAATACTGTAATGCTTTGATGGGCAATGAAAAGAAACATTTTCTGAAAGGCTAGTGCTTACCAGTTGTGAGGATATTTCTATTTGAATAAAGACAAGGTCATGCTTGTGATTATCGCCACAATTTTTGATGAACATAGTGGAATATTGGTATGTGGGGTTTGGTTACAGCAAAACTATGGTATATGGTGACCTTGCTGTTAGATAATACTTCTCCAAATTGTGAGTGTCATGTTTTGCTGGATTTTTTTGCTTTTTCTTGTTGTGGTTTTCCCTTTCTTTTCTAAAAAAAATAAAAAAATTGAAATACTGGAAAAGAGGGAGAGGGAATGAAGGGGGTAGAAGTTGAAGAGTTAAGAAGAGCATGAATTCATGTAAAAATGATTAATAAATCCTTTCTTTGATTTTTAAAAAAAAAAGAAGATTTTTGGGCCTCCAGACTGATGTTTTTTGTTGATAGGTATCATTTGGGGAGGCTCTGTTGTAGTCTCCTCCTTTTGAACTTTTTGCTATTACTTTTGTTTTTTATTTTAGCAAAATTATTTTGAAGCTATCTGATTATGATTTCAGTACTCATATTTGTTAAATGTCAAAAATGTGGTGTCGCTATGATTTGCCACTGTTAATGGTATTAATATTTCGGTTTCCATTTCTTACAGAAAATGTGGCTGGAGAGGACCAACATGAAGACTTCTTACTCCCTTCCTGGCATAGTGGGCTGGTACCCAGTGATGGAAGTGGAGTCGGTCAGTATCACGTATAGGGACATTCATTAAAAGGTGTCATATTGACACTTTTTCACAAAAAATAGGAAACACATTATCGGCCAGCTGTTCAGATGTGGTAAGCCCAAAATGTTTGAAAAATTCTTGTTATTGCAGTTTCTAAAGCTGTGGTATTGGTTGCATGTGCTCGAGACATTGTCAAAATTTAGATTCTAAATTTTGGAAAAAAGCAAGAAAAGATACATAATGTAGGTATACTAGGTAAATGAATGCGACTTTTTTTTCTCTCTCCTGAAAAATTTTGCATTCTGGGCTTAGAATGGTTGCCGGCGACATGGTTGAGGATTGTAAACTAATCTGTTCCCCTGTGTGCCCAGGTGTCTGTGAGTCCTATTGAGAACGCCATTGAGACAATGGAGGAGAAGAACAAGAAGCTGGTGACAACCATTGAGCAGCACAGACAAGATGCTCGTCTACGAGTCGACCTGCTGGGCATGCAGCTCAATGGAGTGGTGGACCCAGCTGTCAGTGGAGGCATTGCCAACTACAAGGTACATCTATGTCTCCTAAACCATCTTGGCTCATAGAAGTTAAACTAAAGGGCTTTGAGTTTAGCATTTCTTTAGCTCATTAACTTGTATAAACGCGGGGGGATTCTGTTTTTTTGCTTTCAGTAAACTTTAAAAAAAATATTCATATTTTAAGTTTGATCTGCCTTTGTATTCTTTTGAAAATTATGCTTTGGCATTGAGGGTTGCTGTGAAAAATGTTACTCTTTTAGTTTATTTTGTATTATATGTTATTGTTTTTTAAATTATTAATTTAGAGAAGCATTACAGTCTGGCTCTATTTTTCTTTTGTACCTTTATTTCCTTGCAAAGGAGAGCTATAGGAGCCTACTGTGTTATGTTTAGAAATGCAGTACATTAAAAGATTCAGGTCAGGTACTAGAGAAACATGTATGAAAACAATATCAAATTGTGAAAATGTTTGCTCTGTAAATGCTTTTGAACGCTGTTCCAAAAATAATTACTGAAAAAGTTTATTTTCAAGCAGGACTTATGGAGCATTTGTTACTCCTTAGATGAGTTTTGAGTGTCTCCTGTCTTCATCAGCTGCCTATCTTTTGAACTTCTTTACAGTATAGACATAAACACTGTTTTGTTGGTATCATTATAAAGAAATGTGAAAACAAAACTCTGTCACGACAAAAAGATACTGAACACTTCACTTACACCTCTTTTGATGTGTGGTTTTCATACCTCAGTAAGGTGCACTGATAGCTCAGTTGATTGATTCCCCTGTGGACAATGGTGCTCATGACACTGGTTTAATTCACCACTGGGGCTTCTTGAACTTTGGTTGATTGAGAAGTTTGATAGGTCTTCCATCCATTCTGCTGCCTTTTATCTTCGGTGGATGTGAAAACAGGATGTTCTACTCATTTAGTTTTCCCACTGTGTTGAAAGGGTTGTTAAATCTATTCTATATTAAACTCCTGTTACTTTGCTGTTTTCATCATGATTTACATATGTGGTCTATTTACTCTTCCTTACCTCAGGATTTCTACATTGGAGATTTTGATCCTATCCTCCAAGAGAGATTAAAAGAGGCCACAATTGAGCAGGTAGGTTAAATCTGATTCTTCGTGATTGCATAATAAAAGTTATAATTTTTATTCCTTAACTTTCTGTTCTAATGGTTTAATGATAGCCCTTATCTACAGAAATATCAGATCTTATTGTCCAACTGATGGCTAGTTTACTTTTTTCCTAAGCAGATATTTTAGTACTTTTTAATTATATACCCTGGTTTATACATATCTTTTTTTTTTTTGGGTGATACATAATTATGACTTTTTAAGGATAGTTTTAGTTTTTACCGTATTTGTACATTTTAAAGTTCTCTCTCTCTCTCTCTCTCTCTCTCTCTCTCTCTCT